TCATTAGATTTAAAAATTTGCCAATTCTGTATCAGGATCATATGAGTGCGAGGAGGTGTTTCTTTTCCTAATACTACACTTGTTACTTGTGGACAAACTTATGTAAAAGGTGTCGTGCTACTAGGAGAACATAATGTACGAAGAGGTCTTTTTCTAGCTCTGTCAGAATGATTTCAAAGCTTTCATTAGATTTAAAAATTTGCTAATTCTGTATCAGGATCATATGAGTGCGAGGAGGTGTTTCTTTTCCTAATACTACACCTGTTATTTGTCGACACAAGTAAAAGGTGTCGGGCTACTAGGAGAACATAATATACGAAGAGGTCTTTTTCTAGCCCTGTCAGAATTATTTCAAAGCTTTCATTCGATTTAAAAATTTGCCAATTCTGTATCAGGATCATATGAGTGCGAGAAGGTGTTTCTTATGCTAATACTACACCTGTTACTTGTCGACAAACTTATGCAAAAGGTGTCTTGCTACTAGGAGAACATAATATACGAAGAGGTCTTTTTCTAGCTCTGTCAGAATTATTTCAAAGCTTTTATTCGATTTAAAAATTTGCCAATTCTGTATTAGCATCATATGAGTGCGAAGAGGTGTTTATTTTCCTAATACTACACATGTTACTTGTCGACAAACTTATGCAAAAGTGTCGTGCTACTAGGAGAACATAATATACGAAGAGGTCTTTTTCTAGCTCTGTCAGAATTATTTCAAAGCTTTCATTCGATTTAAAAATTTGCCAATTCTGTATCAGTATCATATGAGTGCGAGGAGGTGTTTCTTTTCCTAATACTACACCTGTTACTTGTCGACAAACTTATGCAAAAGGTGACGTGCTACTAGGAGAACATAATATACGAAGAGGTCTTTTTCTAGCTCTGTCAGAATTATTTCAAAGCATTTATTCGATTTAAAAATTTGCCAATTCTGTATTAGGATCATATGAGTGCGAAGAAGTGTTTATTTTCCTAATACTACACCTGTTACTTGTCGACAAACTTATGCAAAAGGTGTCGTGCTACTAGGAGAACATAATATACGAAGAGGCCTTTTTCTAGCCCTGTCAGAATTATTTCAAAGCTTTCATTCGATATAAAAATTTGCCAATTCTGTATCAGGATCATATGAGTGCGAAGAGGTGTTTATTTTCCTAATACTACACATGTTACTTGTCGACAAACTTATGCAAAAGGTGTCGTGCTACTAGGAGAACATAATATACGAAGAGGTCTTTTTCTAGCTCTTTCAGAATTATTTCAAAGCTTTCATTCGATTTAAAAATTTGCCAATTCTGTATCAGGATCATATGAGTGCGAGGAGGTGTTTCTTTCCTAATACTACACCTGTTACTTGTCGACAAACTTATGCAAAAGGTGTCGTGCTACTAGGAGAACATAATATACGAAGAGGTCTTTTTCTAGCTCTGTCAGAATTATTTCAAAGCTTTCATTCGATTTAAAAATTTGCCAATTCTGTATCAGGATCATATGAGTGCGGGGAGGTGTTTCTTTTCCTAATACTACACCTGTTACTTGTCGAGAAACTTATGTAAAAGGTGTCGTGCTACTAGGAGAACATAATGTACGAAGAGATCTTTTTCTATCTCTGTCAGAAATATTTCAAAGCTTTCATTCAATTTAAAAATTTGCCATTTTGTATCAGGAGCATATAATGTGCGAGGAGGTGATTCTTTTCCTAATGCTACACCGCCTGTTCTTTGTCGACCAACTTAGGTAAATTGTTTCTTGCTACTAGGAGAACATAGTGAACGATGAGGTATTTTTCTATCACTATATGAGTATTAATTCAATGCTTTATTTCGAATTAAACTTTTTCCAATTCTGTATCAGAAGAATGTACTACACGAGGAAGTCTTTCCGTCCGTATCGCACCTGTTACTTGACAAAATTACGTAAAAGTTTTCTTGTTACTAGGAGATCATAATGAGCGAAGAGGTTTTTTTCTATCACTATGAGAGATATTTCAAAGCTTTATTTCGGTTTATATATTTGCAAATTCTCTACCAGGAGAATATAATGCAAGAGGATGTCCTTCTGTTCGTAATACACCTGTTATTAACTTATGTTAATTTTTTCTGGCCACCAGGAGAACTACGCTTTTTTTAATTACTTGTAATTTAGGTTTTTTATGTTTTTGTTAATATTCCATAGACCTTATTTCGATTTTGTGGGTGTTTGAAAACAAAAACTCTTGTAAAATAATTATATATTTTGGTGCATTAAATAAACTACACGGGCACTAGGTCACCAGTATATTTCTATTTTTTATTTAACGCAATGAACATTTTTGCTGTTTTATTGTTAGGAGGAAGTCGTTTGGAAGAGGGAGAAGTTCTAGATCGTGAATTAGAAGCTGTACCATCTTCATTAAACCAAACTAGATTCAACTTGTTCACTCCCACTTGCTTCAAATTAATATCGGCATCGCCATCGTTCACCACATCATAATTAGAACATCCGTTTCCAGTAATATCGGATGGTCAGGATTGCTAAAATTATAGTTAAAACCCTTCGCTTCATCTGGATAATTTTTAAGATGAGTCGCCGGTTTCTCCTTTCACACTATTTTAAATGCAATTCTCCCTAATATTCCGGTACCTGTTTCAAAGGTCTCTCTCTCCATCCCCTCCTTCAACGTCCATGCTTTCACCCTTCTCTTCTTTCAACTGGAGTTCGCATCCCTTTCACAACCTTCTCCGCATCTTACTCCTACGTTATTAGCCCTACTACTCAAAAGTCTGTAATATCACGAACGAGGGGGCAAATACGCATCTCAGGGGTGAGGATTATGCTAACAATAAGTCTTATTCGATATTATTTACGACCGGTTATTACGACGTTTCAAAGGCTGTTTATAAACATTCCATTTTTAGTAATCCTCACAGAGGTGACTGTGATTAAGAAATGACCCTAGCGCTGTTGTTGATATTCTGCCCAAAATACCTACCTTGTCCGATGACCTTTTCGCTTTCTTTTGTTTATGAAGTGCAGATAACGCGCAAGTTAATTCAGCGATTATCTTATCTCCCCCCCCCCCCCCTTTGGAACGTCTAGTTTGTATCGCGTGTTATTTTTAAAACTAGCTAGAACACCAAGTCAGACGTACAGCGCTGAACAGTTGCCAAAATGGAATATTTATGACGATAGCTAAATCGAGATTCAAATGGCAGACTCGTTGACGACTGTGATAGGTACGTATGTTCACGTGGCGTTCGAAATTGCAACCCTTTCCAGTTCCAGATCCAGATCACAGCATCCAAAGTGACTTGGGCGAAGAAACGACCCCACTGTTGCGTTACACCCAGTCGGCATGGGTGCGCAACTTCTTCATCGTGTGCCTGGTGATCGTGTTCTGTACCGGATGCGCCATCGGAATTTACCTGCTATACGCTGAAAGTTGGCAGCCAATCAAACATCGCTTTTTTCAAATATATTTATTTTTCAGGTTATGAAACTACACTATACACACGTGCTATCAAAACTGATCTCGCCATTCCCCACCATAAACTAAGAAATATAGAGGTTAATGACGCTGAAATAACTGAAAAGAAACCTATTTCTACGGGCATAATAAATTGTAAGTATACAGGGTGTAACAGGTTAGGTTGATATACTGGTCTGTTACACCCTGTACACCGGTGTCCTTAAACCTAAAGGCGCTACGCTTTCAGATTTGGTAACTAAGATAAGATCCTTTTTTGGACGGCTCCACGGCTGGTCTTAGCGCTAATGTGGTGTATACTAGTGGCATGTCAAAGAGAAACTTACAAAAAAATAATATAGGTACAAAAAGTTAGTCTACGTGTAACCGTCTAAAGCTACCGTTCAAACTGTCCGCGTCGTTAATCTTCGTTCTTCGTCGAATGATCCCCTGATCGCTTAGCAAGTTCATCCGGTCGTAGGAAAGCAGGCGATCTCGCTTGTTGATCAGTTCCTCCTTCCACAGCTCGATCATTTCGTTCGTGGACATTATTCCACCGTATTCGGACGGCAAGGTGGGCGGGTCGAGCACCTTGTGCAGGTCGGCCAGCGTGTCGTGAAACTGCAATTTGGACAAAATCGAATTAGAGTCTAGAAACTTTTGAAGCGCCCTGTGCAATAGATGCAGAATTGGTCGCATCAACAGGATGTACTTTAGAAAATTGCAGGGGTTTCATTTAAAGGATGTAATTGGTGGACATTAATAATATTTTGTATACCTTCCTGAGTTTTTCAAAAAAGTGACATGTGTGTGACCAATTCTTGATGGCTTAGCACATGTGTGGATACCATTAGAAACTAAATATTGTGAATAATACCTGTCAAAACACCCCCTCCCCCCATAGTCTCTCGTTCGCTCCTACAATATTTTCCTGAGGAAATGACAGAAGTTTGAAATTCTTTTCAAAAAAGTAACGTGTGTGTGCCCAAGTTGTGAGGGCTGTACTTAATGATAAACATGTGTGGATACCATTAGGAACAAAATATTGCGAAAAATATCTGTCAACCCCCCCCCCCTCCTCCCCAATAGCCCCGTTCGCTTCTACAATATTTTGCTGAGGAAATGAGACAAGATTGTAATTATTTTCAAAAAAGTGACGTTTACTTAAAGGTAAACATGTATGGATACCATTACAAACAAAATATTGCGAATAATACCTGTCAAAACACCTCCCCCCCCCCTCAAAACCTCGTGCGCTCCTACAGTATTTTCCTGAGGAAACGACAGGAGATTGAAGTGACCTGTTGGTGTCCAACTTTGTACGGCTCTATTTAAAAGTAAACGTGTGTGGACACCATTAGGAACAAAATATTGCGAAAAATATCTGTCAACCCCCCCCCCCTCCTCCCCAATAGCCCCGTTCGCTTCTACAATATTTTGCTGAGGAAATGAGACAAGATTGAAATTATTTTCAAAAAAGTGACGTTTACTTAAAGGAAAACATGTATGGATACCATTACAAACAAAATATTGCGAATAATACCTGTCAAAACACCTCCCCCCCCCCTCAAAACCTCGTGCGCTCCTACAGTATTTTCCTGAGGAAATGACAAGATTGAAATTCTTTTCAAAAAAGTAACGTGTGTGTGTCCAATGTTTGAGGGCTGTACTTAAGGTAAACATGTGTGGATACCATTAGAAACAAAATATTGCGAATAATACCTGTCAAAACACCCCCCCCCCCTTCTCATAACCTCGTCCGCTCCTACAATATTTTCCCCAGGGAAGGAAATGACCGAAGATTGAAATTTCTTCAAAAAAAGTTACGTGTGTGTGCCCAATTTTTGAGGGCTTTAATTAAATGTGAACATGTATGGATACCAAAAGAGGAGGGGAAGACGAATTGAGGGAGCGCAACGCGTAGAAGTGCGAAGAGTACATGAAGGAGTTATTAACAAACGTGAAAAGGAGTCCGGATTTGAGGAGAGGTGAAGCTGAGAAGAAGAACATGAAGGAGTTATTAACAAACGTGAAAAGGAGTCCGGATTTGAGGAGAGGTGAAGCTGAGAAGAAGAAGAGGTAGGCGCGGGAAGGACGATATGAGCATTGTGTGAAAAAATGTGAAAAATGGCCAATGTGGCAGAGGGGGAGTATGAGAAGAAAGCAAGGGGGAGAGGTGAGAGCGATGAATACAGACGACAAAGAAGAAATCATTGAAGAAATCGTGAAGCAACGGAAGAGAGAAAACTAGAGGAAGCACTTACCTTAGTCCTATCCCTTATCTTTTGGCTAACTCGAGAAGCAGCAAAATCGTAGACATATTTAAACATGGACGGCAAGTGAACTACGTTGATTTCCTTATGCCTCATCGGAAACGATTGCTAAAACACTCTCGATCAGTACCGATGATGAGTCATCTAAGGCACTTACATCCGCCCATTTAACCAAAGTGGCGAACTCGTTCGGCGGCCACATCGTAATTATCGAAGGTGAGGCGCCTGCGATGTCGATCACGTGGTTGAAACCCAAAACCTGAGTCTCCTCGTCGTCCATCATTGTCTCATAAGTTATCGTATGCGCACGCGCCATGTCGGTGCTTGTGAACAGTGAAGTGTTAAACTTCTCTACGAACAGATAAAATTGACGATGTGGAAGCGACCACGACGAAGACACTTACTCAGTACTGTCAGGACCACCCTCCTGCCGTTCTTATCCCTAAACGGGCTCGGAAAGGTGTACCCCTCGTTCAGGAGCCGCAAGAATCTCTCGTCCTTCCAGTCCAAACCGGAGCAGATATGGCTGAAGCACTTGCGCAGGTTGAGGTATTTGAGCACCATCTGCTGGGTCATGTGGAGGCTGAACTTCTTCGAGCGAAGGAAGCGCAGGAGAAACCTGTCGTCCAGGATGCAACCCTGTATGTCGCGATTTTGGTGTATCCACTCTCTCAGGCGGGCCAGGCATTGCTCGCGCGTCTGCTCGTCCTCCTTCAGTTCCTTCGCGGCGACTTTCAGCACGAAGTTCCTTTGCCTTTCGGTTACCTCGCCTTTTTCCGGTTGGCTTGGTATAATCAGGTGTGCTGTGGTCATTTCTGTAAGAAACAAAAGATAATCGACTTCGAGTCCATCGGCATCAGTGATGTCTCATCAATTAAGGTTATGGTTTGAAAAACCATGACAGATTCAATGAGTTTACTTTTCCAAACTCGTCTTCGGCTCAATCGAGTAAAGAAAAGCAGTACCTACCGAGCGAGGCGAAGACGAGTTCGGCACACACCATGGCTAAGTCGATGATCTGTGAATGGAGGAGTCTACTTCTTCCAAACTCGCCTTTGACTCAATCGAGAGAGTATACGTTTCTCGTCAATATATAGTAATGCTCTGAAAATAAGTGCCGAGCGAGTCAGAGGCGAGTTTGGCACGCATCATGGCAGAGTCGATGAGCTTTGAATGGACGAGACTACTTCTTTCAAACTCGCCTTCAACTCAATCGGTTGAGATAAAGACTTCTCTCACTAATTGAAGGTAACGATTAAAAATGCCTCGCCCAGCGATGGGCTTTTATAAGATGAGTACTTATTCCATACTCGCCTTTGACTCAATCGGTATTAGCAGAAATATACTTCAAAACGCCTCTCTTTCATTAGCAGTGCCGAGCGAGCTGAAGGCGAGTTCGGCACAAACCATGGCAGAGTCGATGGGCTTTGAATGGACGAGTCTACTTCTTACAAACTCGCCTTTGACTCAATCGGGAGAGTATACGTTTCTCGTCAATAGAGGGCAATGGTCCGAAAAGCAGTTCCGAGCGAGTCGACGGCGAGTTCGGCACAAACCAGAACTTATGTTTCGAGAAATAAGGCGCGTTACGATAAGATAAGAGTCGAAACGTTACAGTGTTGCCGGCTCTAGAAATCGTCGCTACGGGGAGTGAGAAAAAAACTGCGCGGACGCGTTGTTTGCGTCGAGCCCGTTTCGCATTTAGATTGATACTTAAGTAAAAATCTGGTGGGAGAGATGGATTCTAACGAAAATTTTCGAGGAGAATCTATGCCAGTTGAGCCCTACGTCAAAGCCAAATTTTCCGTGCAAATTTATATATTTTGAACACGAAAGATTTGATAGGTCGCGCAAAACAGGCCGTATACTCGCAGTGAGTAAGGAATCGGTGTACTCACAACTGGAGACAGTGCCTCTATTTTTAACAAGTTTAACGAACGTGAGTGCCTTCAAAATTCGCTACGAGCAGAAGTAAATTAATATCGCGCCTGGTGTAAGCCGAAAGACACGATCGGACGGTTACTATAACTTTCAAACGTGAATATTAATAATAAGGAAGCGAACCTTTTCCCGTTTCGGTGCTTATTTGGATTAAGGTGTTTCGCGTTTAAATTAATTGTTACCACGAGGGGGTTTGGGTCCAGGGTGCAAAAACATCCAATTGTGCCACATTTGTGGTGGCAAGTTACGTAAAAAACTCGTTTATTAATCAAAGTTGTGCATTCCATTTGTTTATATGAAATGCAACAAATTTGCGAACAAAACGGCTGCCGGTAAAATGGTTAAAGATAATTAATTCAAGTTTTTGTTTGCTGGTAAAGTTTCATTAATTGTAAAATTAGAATTTCAGCAATGCCAATATTTTGTGTGGGTACGGTCAAGTTTTGGCATTTTCAGGGGTATTAGAGCTTTTAAATTCTCTATAATAGCTGTAAAATCCATTGAAGCGATTATTGGAGAATCTCTAGGACACTTGAAATCGTGTGGCAGCTTTCATATGCGACTATTAATGTACTTAATTACACATTTTTGAAACTTATAATCGATCTTGGAGGCTTTTTTTTAACGTAGAAGAGTGTACAGGCACAAATTGTTAATAAATCAAAATTAAAAGTCCCAAATTATTTAAACATAAGGACTGTTGCTAAGAATTTGTTCGACTGGAAAATAAATTAGGATTAGCAAATTCTACAGCATTCACAGAAACTATGACGTTCTAGAGCAGTTATAAATTCCCAGCCCATCCATCAACCATCTTTTATCGTTCCACGTAAGTAACAGCAAGATTCTTATTAACACCAAAGGCAATAAGCTGCCAAGATGGGATTTATACAATTTCGTAATTCAAATTACCAACGTCAGCACATTTATGCCAAGCTACAGATATTTGGGCAAAAGAAAACAATATACACGAAATATTTCAGCGAAAGCGATTTTGAAGTGGTATTGGGTGCCGTCTACGGCGATCGACATCAAAAGTTGCACGAAGTCGCTTTTATTTACGGGAGATCCAAACGAACCGTTGAATTATTGCAGAAAACAATTAAACGTGATCAAAGTTGTATAGGTTCAATTACGGACACAATTCCTAAAGCTACAAAAAAAGCTAAAGCTACCACGAACTATAATCGAATCCCAGCAACTGTCGCCATCTTCATTAAATCGCGCAACGACTGATCCAAAACCGTATACCTAAATGTCTTAAGCTCTCAAAAGAGTCATAGGCTTTGGAACTTCCGTAAAGAGCATTAGGGATCGCCGGAAGCCGTTAGGGAAGTTTTACAGAGTTTTTTAGGCGCCCTTAGTGCTCTCTACAACGATTTCGAGAGCTTTACGTCTTTCTAAATTTGTGTAGTTCGATTGTAGGACTAGTGAGCCTCTTTTATAAAACGTTCCATTCTTAAAGTGCCCCTCCAGACCCCGCGGTGTTGTTTTCTCCCACGAAACCGTCTGCCTGCTCACTCTCACTCCAGTTTTCGGTGAAACGTCATCGAACGTACCACCGGGGGGTCTGGGGGGTATGGAATACCCCCCAGTATACAAGAGTTTTATTGATACGGACGGAATGCTTGCTTGAAAGGGTCATTTAATTTTCCTTTTCCTGGGCGGTTTTCCATGTCCCTCAGACCCCCCGGTGTTGTTTTCTCCAGCACTCCAGTTTTCGGTGAAACGTCATCGAACGTACCACCGGGGGGTCTGGGGGGTATGGAATACCCCCCAGTATACAAGGAGTATATTGATATGAGTATACGGACGGTTTCACGGTGCTTGTCGGGAAAGGGTCATTTAATTTTCCTTTTCCTGGGCGGTTTTCTATGTCCCTCAGATCCCCCGGTGTTGTTTTCTCTCTCAAAACCTGTCTGCTCACTCTCACTCCAGTTTTCGGTGAAACGTCATCGAACGTACCACCGGCGGGTCTGGGGGGTATGGAATACCCCCCCAGTATACAAGGAGTTTATTGATATGAGTATACGGACGGTTCCATGGTGCTTGTCGGGCAAGGGTCATTTAATTTTCCTTTTCCTGGGCGGTTGTCCATGTCCCTCAGATCCCCCGGTGTTGCTTTCTCCCTCAGAACCGTCTGCCTGCTCACTCTCACTCCAGTTTTCGGTGAAACGTCATCGAACGTACCACCGGCGGGTATGGAATACCCCCCAGTATGCAAGGAGTTTATTGATATGAGTATACGGACGGTTCCATGGGGCTTGTCGAGAAAGGGTCATTCAATTTTCTTGTTACTGCGCGGTTTTCCATACCCCTCAGACCCTCCTGTGTTGCTTTTTCCCTCAAAACCGTCTGCCTGACCACTCTCACTCCAGTTTTCGGTGAAACGTCATCGAACGTACCACCGGGGGCTCTGGGGGGTATGGAATACCCTCCAGTATGCAAGGAGTTTATTGATATGAGTATACGGACGGTTCCATGGTGGTTGTCGGGAAAGGGTCATTCAATTTTCCTTTTCCTGGGCGGTTTTCCATGCCCCTCAGACCCCCCCGGGGTTGTTTTCTCCCTCTACCTGGTCACTCTCACTCCAGTTTTCGGTGAAACGTCATCGAACGTACCACCGGGGGGTCTGGGGGGTATGGAATACCCCCCAGTATACAAGGAGTTTATTGATATGAGTATCCGGAGGGTTCCATGGTGCTTGTCGGGCAAGGGTCATTCAATTTTCCTTTTCCTGGGCGGTTTTCCATGTCCCTCAGACCCCCCCGGTGTTGTTTTCTCCCTCAAAACCGTCTGCCTGCTCACTCTCACTCCAGTTTTCGATGAAACGCCATCGAACATACCACCGGGGGGGTCTGGGGGGTATGGAATACCCCCCAGTATACAAGGAGTTTATTGATATGAGTATACGGACGGTTCCATGGTGCTTGTCGGGCAAGGGTCATTCAATTTTCCTTTTCCTGGGCGATTTTCCATGTCCCTCAGACCCCTCGGTGTTGTTTTCTCCCTCAAAACCGTCTGCCTGTTCACTCTCACTCCAGTTTACGGTGAAACGTCATCGAACGTACCTCCGGGGGGTCTGGGGGGTATGGAATACCCCCCAGTATACAAGGAGTTTATTGATATGAGTATACGGACGGCTCCATGGTGCTTGTCGGGAAAGGGTCATTTAATTTTCCTTTTCCTGGGCGGTTTTCCATGTCCCTCAGACCCCCCGGTATTGTTTTCTCCCTCAAAACCGTCTGCCTGCTCACTCTCACTCCAGTTTTCGATGAAACGCCATCGAACATACCACCGGGGGGGTCTGGGGGGTATGGAATACCCTCCAGTATACAAGGAGTTTATTGATATGAGTATACGGACGGTTCCATGGTGGTTGTCGGGAAAGGGTCATTCAATTTTCTTGGCGCGTATAAATTACGAATAATAGCGGACCTGGTATGGAACCTTGAGGTACGTCCCTGTCTTTCCGACTTTCTATGGTTTGTTGAGTCCTTTCATTTCAAACCCCACATAATGCAGAAGACTACACAAAATTTGATGATGAAGTCAAGCCGACGGATAACCATCGTCAGTGGCATCTAATAGCGACGTAGCTTCCTCTAAAACCTGACTGAACCGATGGCAGAATGTCAAATTTTGTAATATTTGTAAGACCGTAACCTTTTCCAGCACCTAAGGGTATATTTGATCATTTCCTCGATTAAAGTGATACTAAGAAACGCATTGCCCGAGGGACCGAAAGTTCTATCGCGGGGACACCGAGCGTTAAACCACATCTTTTATCGTGCCTAGTCGACGTTGTCAAAGGAGTTCCCCTGGGACGCATTCTTGTCCCAAGTCTGTTTTATTGCACTTCCTTAGTCGTTACTTTGAAATTAATTCAGAATGAACAAAATTGGGCCATTCAACTAAGATGTATACATAAACAGTTTAGTTTTTCGAGATTAATGAATAAGAATTTGAAAAATATTTGATTAATGTTTTATTTACGAGGTTGTCCTAAATTATGCAAATGAGGGGTTGGGTGAAAAAGTAGCGTTTCGGAAGTACGTGAAGCTGAAAAAAGTTGTATAAGAGATCAAATGGCGGTAGCGTGACAAACTTTATGGTCCTTCGAGTCGAATTTTTTTACGTTTCATTGAACCTGATCAGTGAACGAGACGCGATGCTTCAGAAGAGTGCAATTAAAATTCCTAATCGTTTGAAAATTGATTGAGTAAGGGCAAATCGGCGTAACCGTTTCTTCTGATCAAACAATTTCGTAATTGAAGACAAGAAAGCGACTTGCCATTTGAACTTTCACATGCCGAGTCAAAGGCGGAAAGAGCAGATGCATAAACTACATACCGGTTGTCCAAATGAAAGTTCTTGTTTAAAAACACTTGTAACACTTACGTGCTAATTTCCCCGCATTCTTTCGCATCGAATTTTAAAAAAAAAAATCAACATTGGCCTTAAACTTTGAGATTAAAATTCGCTCACCTATTCTTATCCGAGAGAAATCCCAAAAACTACTAAAGGTGGAAGTCTCGGACGCTCTCCATGGCACTCGTCTGGTGGTAAGGTAGAAGGGAAGTTATCTAACCATACCTGCTTGAGGAAGTCGACTATAAGATTCGAAAATTAATTAATATACCTACCCACTTATCCTGCATTGTTGCTTCACTTTGTTTAAATGTTGCAAATTTTCCGGAAGCCTTTACAGCTCTCATTCGTTACGGAAATCGCTTATTTTGTTATGTAAAGCTGACGTGTCGGTAATTTGTTGTTGCGTTTGTTATTACTTTTCATAAATGGGTAATCGATCGGTTGACCTACATAATTATTTGAGTGCGATCGGCATAAGGTGAAAATCTTAATCATATGATACGGACACATTGCGTAATTGCAAAGTGCGTTTCATTCGCACGGCATTTAAAAAATCTAACGCGAACGCAGTTCCTCGATTGTACCTCTTTGGTCGAGGCCATCAATTTTTGACGGAATTTAGATTTAAGGGTATACTCTCTGCTATATCAACGAGAATCGACAAGAAGAGGACCTTTTCGTATAGATTTCGGCCTGTAGAATCCAAAACTACCACAATTTTAGGGATTGGACCTCTACACCAAGAACTATATCTATTTACCTATTTTCTGGAAAACAGATTTCGATCCAGTCATCGAATTTTGGAAATCGAGCTTACCACTCCCCATATGAAATTGAGGAGAGGGGATCAAAATACAGAGTGATTCAAGTTTAAGTGCAAAGATTTTAAGGACGTAACGTATGTCTTAACTTGCTTCGTTTTCTCTTTACAGGGTATGAAAGTCTTTAAAAAAAATCGGTTTTTATTTATTTTACTCCCACCAAAAGAAGGCCCTTATGACGACAAGTAAGCCTACCAAAATTTATTTGAGTCGGCTGAAAGGTTTTTGAATAATTGATAAAAAACCGATTTTTTTAAACTTTTACACCCTGTATCTAGAAAACGAAACGATTAAATGAAAAGAATTTCGTATTTTTGGCTGATAAATACCCCCTTAAGCACTCAATTTTGAATCACCCTGTACATACTGGTTTATTCGCGTATCTCAAATCAAACTCCACGATGGTTTAGCGTACACAAAAATACTCAAATATCAAAATTATAAGTCACGTCACACACAAAAATCTTAGTAACTTAACTTTACAATTGACAGATACCAGTTTGATTAACCCCCAATCAAGATTGCGTACATATATGACCAAATACAAGTAATACATAAGAAAGGCAACGCTTACCTTCATTTACAAGGAGACGTCATCCAGGGAAGTGAGCTCAGGTCCGGGATTTCCATAAAATCTGCAATAAATGCAAACTACCAAGCCGCAAAACTCGGAATGCAATGAACTGCACAATGCCTGAAGGGCATCGCCTTACTCGTAGTAAACTTTTACTCTTCGGATAACATTATATTTGATCATAACTTTACAGAGGTCGCAAGATTATCAATAGAAATACTGAAGATAACAAGTTAATTAAAGGTGAGATAACACTGAAGGGGCAAACATATAATTATTGATTAATACGTTAAAAAGTTATGGAAGTTGTTTCCTGGTTGTGAATCGAATCTTGTTATCAAGGTTTCAGCAAGTGGCGGCTCCCTTATCAGTAAATCGAAAGGCCGTCAAACGGTGTTGTTCGTTCGTGCACAGATGGTGACTTGACTTCAAGGTTACACACATGCGTATGTAAAACGTATCCGGAATTACGCTTAAGATGGAATTGGAACTGATCCTTGAACTGGTACCATAAATGACAATAGCCTTGAACGTGGAATCCAAAATTTGAACCAAAATTAAAAACCCTAGAAAAAAATTAAAGGTAACCCTCTTCGTAGAGAACCTTACAATGTGCATAAATAAGAAGGCTACTTATAGATGAACGTGCAATAATCGTCGATAGAAAATCGTATTAAACCTACCGAAGATGTAGGTCAAAAGCAGATTACCTAAATGCAAATGGCGTACTTACAATGAAGAAGAATAACTCAACTATATCCTCCTACTGGAGTCATGGGGTGGAATTCCAATCCACAAATTGATCAAGAATCCACAATTAACCGAATTTAATCACCAAATATTAATGGATGGCGGCAATTAAAATTCTATGCGTTTTGCTGTTAAAATCGAGTGCACTCTGTCACAGCTGACGAACAAAAGAGGAACCATCGATAACGACAAATCGCGGCACCGTAAAATTTCGCGCTAGAAGTTGCGTGTTTAAAATTCCAAGGTTACAAATGTTACGAGGATCATTCAACCGGTAAATATACCGGGAACAATAATAATGCTTCTATTGAAGAAAATAAAACGGTTACAACAGACAGACCGACAGAGATACCAAGATCATCAAAATTTTGTTTGGTTCGTGTATTTCCGTCAAAAAAGTGGAAGGTTTTTTTTTACCACAATGCAACACCTCCCTTACTAACGTGCGGGTGGTAAAAATTATCGACTTCTAGAAAAGATCAGTTTCAGGGGATGATCTATTGGGGTTTAACTGCACCTGTGCAAGTTGCAAGCTCGTAACTTGTAGGTGTCACCATTTTTGTGATAATATACGGCCCATCTCGCTTGGGCTCCAATTTGGAAGTACCTAAACCCTTTCGCTGCTTTACTTAAAAGATGCGCTGCAGCACCTTCTGACCGACATCGCAACGTGCACTTAGAAAATTGTAGTAGTTCGTCCAAACGGGGCATGGGGTACGAACTTTTCGATTTTCGAGGATGCCTTTCGGGCTGCGCAATGCGCCCGCGGCGTTCGTGCGTTTGATGGACCGGTTTCGTGCGGGTTTTGACGGAGTATTCGTGCAACATTTGAACAACACTTAGACGATCTTCGTTAATAAGCGGTGGTAGTCGACACACCGACGAAAAGTTACACCCTTCTTTGGGACCAACACGACGTGGATGGCCCTCGCGGACTAGCACTCTTGTATAACACCTCGGAATAGATCGTCTAATTCCTTGGTGCCTAATCGTTGGTGACGCTGCGGTGCACAGCGTACTCCGTCGTTCTCCCTCTTCTTGAAAGGCCTCTTCTCATTGACTGAATTCCAGATTTAGGCAGTCTTGTATACTCTTTCCTCGTCGAAGTACTGAAAGGTGACATTCGGGTCATCATAGAAACACGGCCAGCATTCCTGGCCGGTTACGTTTAGCACGTCTCCAGCGTCTTCTTGGAAATCGCAAAAAGAACTTGCTGGGTTTTCAAGTCTGGTTGAATCATAAATGTTGAGGGGATATACCAAGGGACCATTCAGGAAGCCTGGAAGCCATGGAAGGTGATTTCCGTCGACCAATTGAGACCATATCTCACATCTGGGAAATCGATGATGATTTATTTCATGTATTTGTGTGGCCTATGCCGGGGTTTTTGTCCCGTAGAAGGTTTCCCTGGTATTCTCTTGTTGTGTGCGTAATATATTTATTTGTTCTTGTCATTTCTTACGCACAAAAGTTCGGTCTTTTATTTAATTCCCTTCCCGATTATGTCTCACGTCCCCACATACAAGAACCGATTACACAACGTAGGAATTCATTCGTGCCACCCATATCGAGCCGACTGCCAGCCAAATTCAAAAGGGCCGCGAAACGCCATCATTTCGACTTGAAAGGTAGATGGCTCTATTCGTAGTTTTTTTTTCAGTGTTGCCAACGGTAAATATAAGGTAAGTCAACGTTTTCAGTGTCGGCTTGATAGACCCTTGGGATCAGTATACGGTTCATACTGGTAGTGACGGACATTTGAGAAGAAGCCTTCTCTCTCCGGTTAACCACCACCGACTTCGTAATCAACCGACAGGAGACTGAAGTATTCCGGCGATCCGGGTCTCCAAGGGCGATAGCTTCCGATAACGGCCCACAATTCACCTCCGGCACCTGGGATGCCGCACTCGCCGACACTGGTGGTATCACCACTGGGACGACACTCATCTTCCACCCCCAAGCCAACCCAGTGGAGAGACTGAACCAGGAAATCGAGAAGGGGTGACACAAACACCTCGATGCGGAGACCCCACAGATATGGGACAGGAAGCTCTTCCTCTTCGCCCCCCGGACGAGAAAAAAACGTCACCAGGGAGACAAGGGGAAAACGGCATGCGATTCAAGTTCCAGCAGGTCCCATCGGTCAAGGTGCACCGCAACCAATCCAAGTACACGAACTTCGGACCAACCAGGGGTCCAGGAGGAAGTAATGGAGAAAACCAGATACCTCGCAACGGGAGAATTCCAGCGAAAATGGAAGGGGCCATATCGAATAATCACCCACGCAAGTACAAACGCATACTTCATCAAGTGAGACATAGAACAGGTGAAGGTGTGCCCTACGACCAGCACCGCCACCACTAGACCCTCCATCTCGCCCGCACCACCTCGCTACAAGAGAACATTTCGCAACGAATCCGGCCGACCCAAGACTCCATCACGGCGTAGCCGAGACCACGACATTGCACCGCCAGATTAGTTCCGTAATCAAATCTCCCTTACCAAGGTCATTACCTTCTGACGTCACACGATCCAAGATGGCGCATGGTGCCCGACTTCTACTTAGTCTAGACTACTTTTTGCATCGGGAACATCCTAGGAAATGCTAGCCCCTGTGAGAACAAATGATAAACAACGCAAGTTAAAAAATTCATTCTGTACAAAGCCACGGCCGACCGTATAAATATAAATAAAACAATAAATAAAAAACGCAAAGATTATTCAGTATAACGACCCAAAACCATTGCGCGCAATAACACTGGAATTTCTTTTGGATCTTGTAGCACATCTAGTAACATTTTTTCCACGTTTCTCATTACAGCCACCTTCTGATGCCCCTTAAGCGGGTAACTAACTGAAACCGGTCCTCCCTGAAACACTTCCCCAATTACTCCTCTCTCATTACCAAAGTGCTCCCCTTGCCTTATACCAAAAGTTAACCGAAACCGTATACGACCCCTGCATCAAAGATTCGACGTGATGCCACCAGTACATCGGTATGTATAGAACTTCGCCGGGACCGACGACCGTCTCGAAACCTTTCGCCTGTCGAAACTTGGGGAACTTGTTATAATCGGGCCTGTCGAAGTCCACCTGTAATTGTTTAAGGAGAACGCCCTTGAAAGCCTTGCTCTTACCATGCTCTGGCGATCGTGCGGGTGATGCACCGGGTGAGGATAGAGACATTCGAACTGATCGGGCGGAAACAAGATGCAGCGTTTAAATCCGTGAACCTGCGCGAACAAATTTTCCTGCTCGTCGTAATGGCAAGGCGTGACGTTGCCCTCCATTCCGATCAGCATTAGATTGGAGGTGAGCGAGCCCCAGTTGTGCTTCGACTGCTTGCCCGTGCAGAAATTCCAGTCGAAATTCAGGAAGTCGTGAACGATCGCCGGCCCAACCGTGTTATTCAAACCCTGCTGCAGATACAAGCGATCCTCACCCTTCTTCCACGCCCTCAGCCGCTTGATAAACTCCGGCAGTTTCATGTCCAGCTTTTTCGTCGGCGGTACGAAACCGTCGCCGCTCGTGACCTTTTTGTCGTCGTAATACTTGAATTTGTGACTCTTCGATTGGAAGACGGTAAAGTCGCTCTCTCCCATGTGCCTTTCGAGGTAGTCGAGGTCCCATTTCTCGGCGCTCTTTGCAAGGTTTGAGCCCAAGACGACTACCGGTTTCTGGAAAAGGTACAAGTCAATCTCTCGTTGATCTGCGAGAGCTTACGTTTTCGGACATGAGCTCGTCGACTTTTGGATCGTTGTGATGCAATCGGGGGATCTCATCGAACTGCAGGTCGCAGTTCCTTAGCTGGCTAGCGTTCCAACCTTTATTATCCATTGCCATTATCTTGGAATAAATACAAATAGACCATGGAGTTAATTATTTCACAATCTTCTGTTAAAGTACGCGAAGACACAATTTTTTTTGCTGATACAGGAAAATTTCACGGAAATTTTTAGGTTATGAGAGCGATACCGGAGACACAAACAAGAAATAATCAAACTTACTATACAGGGTGTATCGACAATTAAGAACTTTATCTCATTTACTTCAGTTAGTATTCCGTACCCTCCAGAGCTAGGGGCGGTAAGAGAGATGATGGTCAAGTAAGTCCCAAGAAACGTGACGATAGTCTTAGGCAGATGATTTTTAGGTGAAGGGCATATTCCATACCCCCCAGACCTGCCCGTCTGAAGCCGTCTTGCCGAAAACTGCGTAATGAAAGTGGTGGGGCAGACGGGTTTGGTGGATAATGTAACACCGGGGAGCTAGGGCCAATACCCCCCAAAAATCCAATGGCCCTTTCCCTACAATCATCATTATCACCATGAAACCATTCGTATAAATAGACTCTTGGTATGCCGGAGGTATTCCATACCCCCAGATCCCCGGTGCTACGTTTGATAGCGTTTTGCCGAAAAGTGTTCATGCAAGTGGTGGGGCAGACGTTTTTGAAGGAGAATGTAGCAGCGTGGGGTCTGGGGGTTATTTAACACTCGCCAAAAGCACATTTAGAAAAACTAGGAGTATTCCATTCAACTTAGGAATATTAAGGAAGATGCGGGAAACGATTCGGAAGATTCAGAAGCATCGTTGGAGATATTGAAGAAGGAAAATACAGTTAGGAAGAAAAAAGGGGAATTGAAGAAAACTAAAGTTGTTCGGTGACATCCGAGCATTTAAAGACATGTTCGGAAGGTGTCGGAAGCATAGAAGAAGGGAGAATTCAGGAAGAATAATGGAAGTTCGGGAATATTCAGAAGTTAAAAGGTTCCGAAAAATTCGGAGAGATTTAGAGCTGGTCAGGAAGAATGCGGGAAATTCAAGATGTTCAGGAAAGTTGAGATAGATCCAGGAAACTCGCCTCGAATCGTGGAATCTACTGCGAACTCGAATTTTTAAGTGTATAGTGGGTTAGGTTGGTCGAGGCCGCCCACATGGAAATAATACACAAATTCGGGAAGAACACGGCAAGATTATGAAAAATCTTGATTGTTAAACGTTCGAGAAAGTTCGCGAGAATATTTAGAAGAAGAAAAAAACTTGATTTTGTGTCTTTATTTTACCTAAGTGATCAGAATGTGCCTTAAAACGAATTAAACTAACATTCACTGTGGTAACAAGTCATCACCGAGTTGCTCATCACCGAAGTCCTCAAAATCAATTGGTTTGCCTGCTCCCGTACGGGGCCTCACCGGAAGCGGGCCCAAAGGATCGCTGTAACTTGCGTCTGGAAAAAAAACGGTAAAATCTCCTCCGCCTGCTCGTGGTACCAACGTACCGACGGGCTGTACGAAACCCGAATCCGCACTTCCGGCGCTGTTGTGGAGTTGAGACAAACGCGACGATCGGAAGCTGCCGCTTCTGTTGCCCGACTCGAACGGTGTGGCCAAACGAACGTGTTCGGGAACCGGACTGAATCCCGAACCGGCCCGTGACGAAAGCCCGCTGTTCGTCCTGCGCGAACCCGGACGACTGCTGCCGACCCGATCTCTGACCTCCTTCGACTTTTCGAGCTTCTTCAGCTCCAAAATGTAGTCCTGCGACTCTCGCAGCCCCAGGTCGTTGCAGAGCCTGATTAAAAATTTAAGGCACTCGGTGTTGTCCGGGAACCGCTTGTGGATATCCTGGTAGAGTTTCAGCGCCTTGTGCAAGTTACCGGTCCGTCGATGGCAGCCGGCAACCATCATGTGCCACTTCGCCTCGTTCGGCTGCATTAGCTTCGCTTTCTCGAAGTAAATCAGGGCCTTCTCGACGACCTGCATTTCGATGTAGTACGAGCCGAGCCACTCGATCACCGACAGGTTCGAGGGATTGTAGCGGAACGACTCGAGATGATAGTGATGCGCCTGCTGTTTGTCGCCCTCGTGGTCGTGCAGCTCGCCCAGTTTTTGTAAAATACTCGAATCCGTCGGTAACAAGCCGAGCAGTTGCTGGTACGCCTCCGATGCCGCCTCGAAATCGCCAAGCCCCTCAAAAATGCAAGCCGTCTGGTAAACGATCTCCGGCAGTAGCGAGAGCGAACCCGAAAACTTCTGAAAGCACTCGAGAGCGTCGTCGTAGTGGCCCTGTTGCTTCATCACCAACCCCAAGTTGTAGAGCGCCTCGAAGCACGACGGATCCAAATCGAGCGCGCTCATAAAGTAGCTTTTCGCCTGCTCCAGCTCGCTCTTCACCATGTAGCACGCGCCCAGATTGACGAAACCGGCCGCGTTGTAGTTATCGACGCTCTTCACTATTTGCCCGTACTTTTCCGCGTTCTCGTAGTCCTTCTGCTACAACCGAGGACACGCACGAGATCCCACGGGCCGGGAACCTACTCACCTGGAAATAGATGAAGCTGAGGTTGATGGCGGCGTTGCTGCCGATGTTCGACTCGTTCCCGAAGGCCTTGAGGGTGTCGATCGCGTCGCCGACCTGTCTCTGCTTCAGGAACATCACCGCCTTGTTGATCTCCAAGTCGCCGGCTAGTCGGGCGTATTCGGAATTTTTCACGACCGAAACGCACCAGTCGTAGCCTGTAAAGAGAGAAGTGAGGGAAGGCGGCGCAGCCCCAGAATCCGCACACGAACGAGCTCGGAAAGAATTCGAGAAGATTCGTAAAGGATCGGAAAGATTAAGGGTGGGGGAACTCGGAAAGGGAACTGTACCTTCACTGAAGCTATTCTCGATAAGCGGGGCGATTAGTTTAGCGGCGGTCAAAACGCAAAATTCCGCATCGGCCCTCGTCTTCTTCTCGTACGCGTGCAGATCGTCATTTCGGATAGCTCCGGCCAGCAGGCGATCGTTTGGATCTTCCTAAAAGTATAAAATCGCACCGGGTTGTGGTGGGAAGGGGGAAGGGGGCGAAACCTGCACGTGGTTGTACTTCTCCTCGTCCTCCAAGTCCAACGGAACTGAAAGGAGGAGATTGAAGGCATTTTTCATCCTGTCCACGTCTTCGAGCGCGACGCAGCACAGTATCAGGTGCAAGCCGGCGCGGTGGCTGGCCTGCTCGTTCATGATGTACTCCAAGCTGGCGACGGCCTCGTCCCACTGTCCCATGCGCACGAAAACCATCCCGATGTTGTGCATGATCTTGATTCTCAGATTCTTCTGGCTTGACGGCACCTGGTCCAACGCCATGCGATACATTTTGATCGCCTGCTGGTACTGCCCCTGCTTGTAGTAGATGTTGCCCATGTTTATTTTGAGACGGTGAGCGTTGGAGAACATTCGGTTCTTGATAATGAGCTGATAGGTGTTGAGCGCTTCGGTGTAAAGCTCGTTGCAGGCGTACTGGTTGGCTAAGGTGAAGAGGACGGTGTAGGTGAGGTCCATGTTGTGACTGTCACCCAGGCCCGCCTGCTCCTGCATGCGGATCAAGTTGCGTTCCTTATTCGACGCCTCCTTCGCCCTGTCGAGCGCCTGTCGGTAGTTGCCCTCGTTGTGCGCGTTGCACGACTCCTCCACCAGTTGCATTATTTTTCGTTCTTGCACGCGCACCTTCTCTTCCGGTCTGCAAGTTTGACATTTAAATCACCCGCCTCTTTTTCAAGCATTCAACTTCTTAAATTTCAAATAAGGTATGAAATGCTCCTTAGTCAAAAGAAGCTTCGATCATTCGAAGTCTTTTTTCCTGAGGAGTATTCAATACCTCCCTGGCCCCCTGGTGGTACGTCCATCGTTTCCAAAGTACTTTCCTGGACAGCGAGCCCAAGGGGAGATTCATGAACTTCAGGAAATCCCCTTCGGTTCACTTGAAATTGTACTAAAAGTTCGAATTTTCTGAACTAAGTGCAAGAAACGCCAATTTCGATTTGAACAACTCAAAAATCCATAAGAGCACAATGCCCGTAGGGTACAGCAAAATTTAGGCACTTACGACTCGTCCCTCGGCAGTTCCAAACTGTACGAGTACCCCTGATTTAAGGGGTCGAACACTTTGTTCTGTGACGAGTAACCGGCGCCGCGTACGGCGGTCATTGGTCGGTTGACGTCGCTGCCGGTGTTCGGACGGAAGCCGGTGATCGGACGGTACGCCGTTAAGGGCATCATTCCCGTTCCGAGTCTGTGAAACTAAGTCGACGAATGAGCAGAAATCCGCGAGGTATACGAACCCCAGAAGACGTTCCTATGGCCTGCGGTGTGCCCAAACGCATGGAGGTGCCCAGTCGCATACTCGTTCCGAGTCGCATCCCCGTTCCCAAACGTAAACCTGAAACCGACGTCGCAGAAGAAACTGTTAAAGAGACGCAACCCTCGCACCTGGCTTGCGCGACGCGTCGGCCGTCGCGAGCATCCGCCGGAAGGATTCCTCCTTGGAAATCGGGCCATTGCTGGGCTTTCTGAAGAGCAACTGTAAGTCCTCCTCTTCCATTTCAAGCATTTTGGACAGGTTGATTAGGGTGGAATACAAACAGTCGGTTGCCAAGCAACGGCGCCAAATTTTAGAGTGAACGGTGGTTAGCCGTACGACAATTGTAACTGTGACTGTTGTATAGGCGACTTATTTTATACTGGTCTGTGATCCTGATACGTCAATTAGTTAATTATCACAAGAGTGGAGAAAGCGTGAACGACCTGTAATCCTAATACCTGTGTAAGAACCAAAACGTAACGTACGTTTGTCGAATTAATTCATATTTCCACCTCCTGGCGTACCTGCGATTCTAGCACAATTTTTTAAAGAACACGCCGGAGATCATGGCATGATTATTTAGAAGGGACTACCCAGAAATTCGTAATACATCAGTTGTCTGATATGATTATTAATAAAGAATTTGATATCAAACGATTCGCCATACATACGTTCCATCATTTACACCTTAAATAAACTTATGTTTCTGTGATCCTAATAAGTTCTTTCTAAAGAGAACAAATCGGTATTAGAGGAGGATTATTCCATTTTTTGAGTTCCTGTCATCCTAATATTCTCAAAAAATTAATTAGAACAGAATTAATAATCGAGGAGTTTGTCAATAAATTATCGTCTGTTTATATTTTCTTGGGGTTTCTGCGATCCTGATTTATTTAGAAAAGAAAATGTGTACGGGAACATAATACGTGGTCTTCCTCAATCATTTATTTCCTTTTTCTCGATGCAGTGGAGGTTTAGATGAAATTGATTATCAGGAGAACATGGTCATACTGAAAAGGATAGATTCGTACTGCATACGTCAGGTCTTGTTAATGCAATTGATGCTTTTTCTCAGTTTCATTTCTATCATGACATTTTTTAAAGAGGGCTATCGCATTTTTGGGGAAAGCGTAGCACCGGGAGGTGTGGAATACGCGAATACCCCCCAGCAGAGGATGATTTGATGGTCATTCCGCGAAAATTACCATAAATGTGAGATAGTTGTTCCATTGTGCTGGAGGATTCCCCCCCCCCCCCTAGATTTTTTACAAAAACGTTCACTTCTTTCATGATGTTTTAAGGAGGACCATCGATAAGCATTTTTGGGGAAAGTGTAACACCGGGGGTTGGAATACACCTCAGAGGCGGAAGATTTGATGGGGTCCTCCCGCGATTTTAGATTTTAACTCAGGACTTGATTATCAGGAGAACATGTTCATTCTTAAATCGTACTTTTTCGATCAGACTTCTCAATCAAAAGTTATAGACTAGAAACCAATTTCGAAAGAAAATTCAAAGAGCTGTAACTTTTGAACTAGTAGCCCAATCTTGGAACTGTTTGAAATTATGGATTCTACAGGCCACATTGTATAAGAAAATTTTTTTTCCGGTCGATCTCAGACAATTTTTTTTTCGGGGCTCAAAAAAAGGCAGTATATAACCTTCCTTTTTCACCAAAAATCGACTACACCAAAATTTCTCGGGAACACACTTTTTCTTATTAATTTGGGTGCGTAGAATTCAAAACAATTCGTACTTTTTCGATCGGACTTCTCAATCAAAAGTTATAGACTAGAAACCAATTTCGAAAGAAAATTCAAAAAGCTGTAACTTTTGAACTAGTAGCCCAATCTTGGAACTGTTTGAAATGATGGATTTTACAGGCCACATTCTATAAGAAATTTTTTTTCCGGGTCGATCTGAGACAATTTTTTTTTCGGGGCTCAAAAAAAGGGAGTGTATAACCTTCCTTTTTTTTACCAAAAATCGACTACACCAAATTTTCTCGGATAATTTAGTACCACACACGTCAAGATTTTGCTGAGAGTAGAAGTTTAGGTCAGAATTTGATTATCAGGAGAACATGTTCACTCTTAAAAGGATAACTTCGTACCACACACGTCAACAATTTGCTAAAAGTAGAGGTTTAGGTCAAAAGTTGATTATCAGGAGAACATGTTCACCCTTAAAATATAATTTCTTACTCGTACATCAAGGTTTTGTTAATGCAGTAGAAGTTTCGATTAGAATTTGATTACCAGGAGAACATGTTCGCCCTTAAAGCATAATTCCGTACCACCAACGTCAAGATTTTTATGCTGCAATGTAAGTTTGGATCCGAATTTGATTATCAGGAGAACACGTTCACTCTTAAAAGGATAATTTCGTACCACACACGTCAACATTTTGCCAAAAATAGAGGTTTAGTCAGAATTTGTTTATCAGGAGAACATGTTCACCCTTAAAAACATAATTTCGTACTCGTACATCAAGGTTTTGTTAATGCAGTAGAAGTTTTGATTAGAATTTGATTACCAGGAGAACATGTTCGTCCTTAAATCATAATTCCGTACCACCAACGTCAAGATTTTTATGCTGCAATGTAAGTTTTGATCAGAATTTGATTATCAGGAGAACACGTTCACTGTTAAAAGCATAATTTCGCACCGCACACGTCAACATTTTGCCAAGAATAGAGGTTTAGGTCAGAATTTGTTCATCAGGAGAACATGTTCACCCTTAAAATATAATTTCGTACTCGTACATCAAGGTTTTGTTAATGCACTAGAAGGTTTGATTAGAATTTGATTATCAGGAGAACATGTTCGCCCTTAAAGCGTAATTCCGCACCACCAACGTAAAGATTTTGATGATGCAATGTAAGTTTTGATCAGAATTTGATTATCAGGAGAACACGTTCACTCTTAAAAGGTTAATTTCGCACCAACACACATCAACATTTTGCCAAAAAATAGAGATTTAGATCAGAATTTGATTATCAGGAGAAAACATATTCACCCTTAAAAGCATAATTTCGTACTCGTACATCAAGGTTTTGTTAATGCAGTAGAAGTTTTTGATTAGAATTTGATTACCAGGAGAACATATTCGTCCTTAAATCATAATTCCGTACCACCAACGTCAAGATTTTTATGCCGCAATGTAAGTTTTGATCAGAATTTGATTATCAGGAGAACATGTTCACCCTTAAAAACATAATTTCGTACTCGTACATAAAGGTTTTGTTAATGCAGTAGAAGATTTGATTAGAATTTGATTACCAGGAGAACATGTTCGTCCTTAAATCATAATTCCGTACCACCAACGTCAAGATTTTTATGCCGCAATGTAAGTTTTGATCAGAATTTGATTATCAGAAGAACATGTTCACTCTTAAAAGGATAATTTCGCACCACACACGTCAACATTTTGCCAAAAATAGAGGTTTAGGTCAGAATTTGTTCATCAGGAGAACATGTTCACCCTTAAAATATAATTTCGTACTCGTACATCAAGGTTTTGTTAATGCACTAGAAGGTTTGATTAGAATTTGATTATCAGGAGAACATGTTCGCCCTTAAAGCATAATTCCGTACCACCAACTTCAAGATTTTGATGATGCAATGTAAGTATGATCAGAATTTGATTATCAGGAGAACATGCTCACTCTTAAAAGGTTAATTTCGCACCACACACATCAACATTTTGCCAAAAATAGAGATTTGGATCAGAATTTGATTATCAGGAGAACATATTCACCCTTAAAAGCATAATTTCGTACTCGTACATTAAGGTTTGTTAATGCAGTAGAAGTTTTGATTAGAATTTGATTACCAGGAGAACATGTTCGTCCTTAAATCATAATTGCGTACCACCAACGTCAAGATTTTATGCCGCAATGTAAGTTTTGATCAGAATTTGATTATCAGGAGAACATGTTCACCCTTAAAAACATAATTTCGTACTCGTACATAAAGGTTTTGTTAATGCAGTAGAAGATTTGATTAGAATTTGATTATCAGGAGAACATGTTCGTCCTTAAAGCATAATTCCGTACCACCAACTTCAAGATTTTATGCCGCAATGTAAGTATTGATCAGAATTTGATTATCAGAAGAACATGTTCACTCTTAAAAGGATAATTTCGCACCACACACGTCAACATTTTGCCAAAAATAGAGGTTTAGGTCAGAATTTGTTCATCAGGAGAACATGTTCACCCTTAAAATATAAATTCGTACTCGTACATCAAGGTTTGTTAATGCACTAGAAGGTTTGATTAGAATTTGATTATCAGGAGAACATGTTCGCCCTTAAAGCATAATTCCGTACCACCAACTTCAAGATTTTGATGATGCAATGTAAGTTTTGATCAGAATTTGATTATCAGGAGAACACGTTCACTGTTAAAAGGATAATTTCGCACCGCACACGTCAACATTTTGCCAAGAATAGAGGTTTAGGTCAGAATTTGTTCATCAGGAGAACATGTTCACCCTTAAAATATAATTTCGTACTCGTACATCAAGGTTTTGTTAATGCACTAGAAGGTTTGATTAGAATTTGATTATCAGGAGAACATGTTCGCCCTTAAAGCATAATTCCGTACCACCAACTTCAAGATTTTGATGATGCAATGTAAGTTTTGATCAGAATTTGATTATCAGGAGAACACGTTCACTGTTAAAAGGATAATTTCGCACCGCACACGTCAACATTTTGCCAAGAATAGAGGTTTAGGTCAGAAATTTGATTATCAGGAAGGAAATTAAAAAGATAATTTCGCACCAAGTCAAGATTTTTCCAAAAGTAGAGGTAAAGGTCAGAATTTGATTATCAGGAGAAAATTTTCACTCTTAAAAGGATAATTTCGTACCACACACGTCAGCATTTTGCCAAAATTAGAGGTTTAGGTCTGAATTTGATTATCAGGAGAACATGTTCACTCTTAAAAGGGTAATTTAGTACCACACACGTCAACATCTTGCCAAAAGTAAAGGTTTATGTCAGAATTTCATTATCAGGAGAACATGTTCACTCTTAAAAGTGCAATTTCGTACCACTTACCGCAAGGGTTTTAATGTAGTGGAAGTTTTGCTCAGAAATTGATTATCGGGGGAACATATTCGCTCTTGAAAACGGTATAATTTCGTATACATACGTCAAGGTTTTGTTAATGGCGTGCCAGAAAGAGGTGTGATCTACTTTATTTTAAGTGGGGGGGGGGGGGGGTCAGGTAAAGCTGCTCGAACAACCAACTCCACTATTACACATACACCGACACATTGTGCTCGGTGCATTAATTGCATTTGGTGAAAATAAACACATTATTATTATTATTATTATTAGTATGGCCAGTCTATAATTGATCGTTAAGAAAAAAATAATAATAAAAAATAAAATAATTTTAAAAATAAAAATATTAAAAAAAACACATTTCCTTTAGTTTAGTTATTATTATTATTATTAAAAATCCTAAATGTTCCCCTGTTCACTCACTTGCACAGCTAGGACGTCAACTATAACGCAAACTATTTCAATAGAAAAAAGATTTATTAAGTAAAAATCAATAAAATTATATTGGTACAGTCTTTATGGTCTTTGTGAATTGTAGAGAGACAGACGGAGAGAAAGATAGAGATAAACTACCTAACATGCTTTTTCCAATGCGACATCATCGTCGAACGTGAGACGAACGTTTTACCGCACACCTCGCACGCGTACGGCCGCTCGCCGGTGTGCAGCCTCTTGTGGATCGCCATCGGTGAGAATTGCGTGAACGTCTGCCCGCACTGGTCGCAGCTGTAACCGGCTGTGTACTAGTGAGAATGAACGTTGAGTTGCGTACCTGTACGGCCGTTCGCCGGTGTGCGAGCGACGGTGGCATCGTAGCGCGTCGCGTCGCGCGAACGCCTTGCCGCACATCTCGCAGACGTACGACTTTTCGCCGGTGTGCATCGTCGAGTGTATGCGAAGGTCGACGCGCGTCAGGAAACCCTTGCCGCAGACCTCGCACATGAAAGGTTTTTCGCCTGTGTGAATTCGTAAATGCGTTTGTAGGTAACTTTTTGAGACGAACATTTTGTTACACACTTTGCAGGAGTATTTACGATTATCCAGTCCGGTGTGCACCTTCTGGTGGGCTTTGCACAAACCTGCACATTGAAAAGGGGATGGTTAAATAGAACAATCGATTTTGTTGACTTTGCAGGAGTATTTACGATTATCCAGTCCGGTGTGCACCTTCTGGTGGGCTTTGCACAAACCTGCACATTCAAAAGGGGATGGTTAAATAGAACAATCGATTTTTCTGACCGATGATTGCCGAGTGTAACCGATCCTACCTTTCGTTATAAATCCGCGCCCGCAGATGTCGCACATGTAAGGTTTGACACCCAAGTGACGATTCGTGTGGTCGAGGAGGGACTGTTTCGTCTTGAAGTTTCTTCCGCAAGTCGTGCACGGGTACGGTTTTACGTCGGAATGTACGCGTTGGTGGACCATCAGGTAGCTTTTGCACTGGAAACCCTTCCCGCACGTCGGACAAGACAGATCGTACTGACCTGCAAGTTCAACCGATCATAGACGGCCGAAATACGCCGACCCCCCACCTGTATGCTTGGCCGCGTGCTGTGCGAGACCGATCTTCGAGCGAAAAGCCTTCTCGCACGAGATACACTGGTAGGGCTTCTCCCCGGTGTGCTTGCGCATGTGCTCCGCCAGCTTGTAATTGGTCTTATACGTCTTACCGCACTCCTTGCACTCCTTCGGCGTCCACTTCTTACGTCTTAAAGTGGGCGACACCGACACGTCCGCTTCCGGATCGTCCTCGTCCTCCTCGTCGTCGACGTTTTCCGCTGCCGCGTCCTCGCTGTCGCTGTCGCCCTCCAGCTTAACGCCATCGTGCTCCTTTTTTATTGGTACGGTGGCCCGTTTCAAACGTGTTTTTATGGGCTAAAAACCGCAAAGGTGGCAATTACTGCTTGCTTGCAGTTTCCAATTGTTTAAACACCCTGTATTACATTTTTTACCGAACTGACCCCGACAAACGATGTACACACCCGTTTTACCAAGGTTTCGTCGGGTTGGCAGATTCAGTAATGAGAGCAATATGTGACTTAAACACCCTGTATATAACAAAAGCAGAAGCATCATTGTTTATTCATTAGTTATTGAGCTGACAGACAGACAGGCGGCGAAATGTTGCTTAGGTATCCTCTGAAAATCTGAATTTCAAAAACCTGATTCGCATAGGTCGGTTCCTTTAGGAATATTAAAGTACCCTTCTAGCGTTCAGAAATAATAGATTACATTTTCTTGAAAATTGCTGTGTCAGATCCTTTCGGGAAAAGCTCAATAATTAACCTTTCATACCCCCCAGACCCTGTGGTTCTAGGTTCATCCCCAAACTATTTGCCGCAATCTTCAAACTTAATTACTTTCAAAGAACATTTTCCCATACACGAAACCGTAAATGCTGAACGTTTCGGGGGATTATGAAGCACCGTGGAGTCTGAATACCCCCCAGCACTCGGGAAGAATAGATTAAGTTTTCTTGAAAACTGCTTTGTCACTTCCTTTCAGGAAAATCTCAAAAAATAAACCTTTCCCTAACAAAGGTACCAATTAATTATCAAATTTTTTTACCGCGTTCTGTCATAGTAAAATGAGTTTTGGAATGAAATCACTGAAGGTTTACTGGTGTTCATTTTCCCAACTTTGCCGTTACACCCCCAGACTCAAAAAAAGTTTGATAGTGATAACAAGTAGTTTAAATATTAATTGCCTCGATATTGTCCAAATATGTGTTAAAAGGTGGTGTATTTATTTTGTCCCGTAATGTATGGCAATTTACCCCGGTATTTCGCTAAAACCCTCAAAATTATATACCTGCTAGATAAAGTCGCCAACACAATACAACGTCCCTACCTATCTGTCGCAGGGGTTTTTAGAAATGGCAACAAGGTCGAGCTCAAGCTATATCTTGTAAATCAGCCTGCATTTTACTCGAAATGCAATTGCTCTTATCTTCAGACATACTTTCGTTCACGTTTTCTATGAAGCGGTATGATTAAAAAAATAAATTTTCCAAATTGCAAAGCGGCCACCCGTTACATTTTACACTTAATTCCTAATACTATTAGTTCCTATGTCACGTAACCCATGGCAATAAATCTTAAATAATAATAAGACGTTATAGCTATTTATAGGTATATCAAGTACATAAACTGGGTCTTTATGGACGAGCCGTTTATTTAGCCGAGCGAGCTTGCGAGCGAGGCACAAATAAACAAGGCGAGTCCCCATAAAGCCTATTTATTATGCAAATTTTTTTAATTATTTCTTACATAGGATATATTCCTAGTTTTTCGTGGTCATGGAATAGATGAAAACTATTGCTTGGTAGGGGGAAACAAGTACCATTTTCAATGTACACCAAAAATTCACATTTATTCAAAATAAATCATGGGATAACGCTTACAGCATATGCTAAAGGCCAATCCCTTGCATGGGACTGTACATGCGTGGACACTTTATCCCAAACAAACATTAAAAGTACTTCAATAAGAGCCGGAGCTGCAGCAGAAGAGGCATGCTCAAAAAAACACAACAAATATCGAGATCTAAAGAAAGATTATATATTTATGGGACTTGCCTTCGAGACACTTGGACCATGGTGCAAGGAATCAAGAGATTTTCTGAATAAAATAGGCAAAAGCTTAATTGCGGAATCCGGCGACAAACGCGCTAAACAATTTTTATTTCAAAGGATATCCTTGGCTTGGCCATCCAACGTGGAAATAGTGCATGTATCCTGGGCACTCTCCCAACTGAAAAACAGTTCGACGAAATTTTTTTGTTATAGTTAATTATTGTTTTCTTCTTTGTTACACAATTTTAAATATTTCGTTTAAATAAAATTTTTAAAATAAAAAAAAAAAAAAAAAAAAATTAATTCATTGGGATGCACTCTAAAAATTCAAAAGCGTTTCCCCCTAGAGTGGTTGCCATTAAAAAATATACCCCCTTTGACCATGCAGAAGTACGCCACTGACCACAAATTAGAATGTTAGCAAGCTTTTAAAATTGTGGATACCTTCCACAACATGATAGGTTTAATGACATATTCCGTGTTCCACACAAAATGACCACCCTGTATAAGTATACAAAGGGTTGTAATGTAAATTCTCAGAGACGCCTATAGTCTACATAGATCTTTGCCCTTACCCTTTAAATGTAATTTGATCTATCTAAATTAGCAAAGGAATGTTCTCAGGTAATGGAAGAGCATAGTACCACAAATTGACACGATGTGGCAGCACTTATCATTCACTTATGTAGAGCGCTTACGAATGAATAATCAATGGTACTACGAGGTGTACAATGATCAGAGGCTTGTTTTGACCCCAAAGTCCCCTCCATAAACCAAAAATGACAACCTACCTTTATCTCCTCGACACTCGACCCGTGCATCTCCTTACGATGCTCGTTCAGAGCATCACGATTCGTAAACACGGCCAAACAGATCGCGCACTTATTAAAGTGCTGCTCGTAGTGCATCTGAAATTCGATCTTTTCGTTAAAGCTCCGTCCGCACATGTTGCAGTGCAACCACTCGCCGGGCTCACCGGAATTCGTCGTACTCAACGCGCTCCCGTTACTGTTCTCGCACGACGGCGGCTTCGGGTCGTCTCCGTCGTCGATCGACTTCTTCTCCTCGTCTTCCTCCTCCTCCTCCGCCACTTCGATTTGCGGCAGCTCGCCTACGATGCTCGGGTTTTCGGCGATGTTCACGTGAAGGCGATACTGATCGGTCAGCAGATGCTCCTGCTGCACGAGCAGGTTCTCGGCGTGGTATCCGTCGTTTACCAGCATCGTCTCCTGCCCGGTCAGGTGGATGTTGGCCAACGGGTGAGTCATGTCGACGTTCTGCTGCGAGAGGATGATCTCGTGCTGGACTATCAGGTCCCGCTGCTGTAGGTGCACGAGATCAATCTCGTTCGGCATTTCGTGAGCGGCCAAAAGAGGCTGGTGCTGTATCATAATCATCCCGGTAGGCTCGAGATGAGGAACGTTGATTTCCTGCTGATTCAGTTTGGTCGAACTGATCTCCTTTAAAAGCGTAATTAAAATGCTCTCGGTCCGTACCGAGCGTTCCCGAAAATCAAAAAACAGCTCTAGTTTGTACAGACAGCTTTCGCAGATCATTTTGGGTAATTCGTCCGATTCGTGAACCTAAAAAGCGTGACTTTTTAGGTGAAGGTTCGCGAAGAGCTCTTACTCGAATTGGAAGACAGGATTCAATTTTCTTGTTAATCTCTCGCATTGTGCCCTCGTTTTCGAAAATGTTTATAGCTAAGACCATGTTCGTTTTGGTAGCACAGAGTCTACATAAATCTCCATATCTCATACTATCGGCGGTCGCCATTTTGTTTACTATCAAACCTAAGAATGTTGTATTTAGCGTTTTTACCCAAATTAAAACACGTTCGATTAGCAATTATGGAAAAGACCGCCACTATATTCTACGTTAAACCTAAAAAAGATAATTTTTGCTTCGTTTTTAAGGTTATTTTCCTCATTTTCCAACGTAACTTTTGTGAAACAGCTAGCAGTTTGTGTTGGAAGTGGCGCACATGCGCCCGACTTTTTCGGTGGCCGTAATATACACTGTGTTACATTCAACAGACCTGTATATTCTATTATATTTACAGGGGAGCCCGACAAGTCAGCACTAGGGCCCATTCTGCCCATTCCCTTTTTAGGTTCTGAGCCCGTTCCTCGCAATAAAGGATAGGATCAGGTTTAGGCTAAGTTGCTTCACCCTCCACGGTTCTGGATAGCCGTCTCTGATCAGGGCGTCACAGGGACAGACCACTAGCTCGGTAGTCTCATCTGCCTCCCCACAGAACCTGCACGTAGGCTTCAGACGGCCCTCTCCATCCAGTCCACTGGTCCTCTCATTCGGCCACAATGGCATTCTGCGGTTTCCAACGGAACCCTACCAGCCGAGAAGAATTTCCGGTCATTCCGGTGACTATTTTTAAACGTGGCCCTGTTGCTTTTATTTCCGTATTACTTTAGTGCGTACAACTTGGGAGTTAAGCCCAGCACTGATTTTGTGTATTATTTCTTCCTAAAATATATGTTTGATTCATGTATGTTGGAACGCTTAAAAAACGAAAAAATGGAACCGGAAAAACTATTGAAGTCACAGAACCGGAACCGGAAATAATTCTACCTAAGTAGTGCGGAACCGAAACTTATAGTCCATATGGGTTTCAACCCCTGGTTAAAACTAAGACTAAACACAATAAATTGAAGTTGCTTGTATAGCAAACAATAAACCGTCTGGAGAAATCTAGAAGGCATATCGTATTTCGCAGGAATAAAAATGAATGTTTATTTAAGATTTGCATATTCATTACATGAATCATTGTGATAGCAGCACACAGTGCGTACAAGTTGCCTAACATCCAGATACCGCGATTCGTGCCTTCACGCACCCTGTATACTGACGTGAAGTTCGGTCAAGTACGTCGAGCTCGACGCAAATAATGAGTGAAGAAAAAGTGCTCGACGCTGAAAATTGGCGAAACGAGGCCCGTTCCGTAATAAACGACGTTAGTAATCACGTAAAAACGATCGAAATTTCCGCATCGTCGGCGAACGACGACGGCCACATCTACCTCAACGTGACGACGCTCGAAAACGCAAATTACTGCGTCGAACTGTCGGCGGCCGGCTTCCGAATCGTCGGCGTCTCGCACGACGCGAACGATCTCGACGACGGCGAACGCTACGAGACGCCCTACGCCCTTCTCGGTAAGATCAGCGCGAGTTTTCGGCGGTCCTTCGCCGACGAATTGATGAGCAAACTGAAGAGGGCAGCGGAGTGAAGTTTGCGCCGGTTTGACCTTGTCGCGACCTTCGGCAAACTTCAAAACAATCCGGGTGACACATTCACAATTTCACATTTCAGTTTTACGTGTGAAATGTGTAAGATTTGCTGGGGGTGAAACTAAAGTGCGTGTAATCGATGTGTGATAATCAGTGTATACTACTTTATAAACATTCGCGACGGAGAAAACGTCCAGTCTCTTTGAAATTTTATTGTGTTTAGGTGAGTAACCCCCTCTGCCTTGTTCGCCAATTCTGGGGCGCGTTCAAGGGTTGGTACTAGGCGCCTGGTCGCACGGTACATAACCTACAACGAGACCTACAATTAATTTATTGTTATTAAAACAATCTGATTAACCAAAATACAACGCGCAAGGTCACTGAGTACCTTTCCACTTTGTGTTATGATAATAAACATTCAGTATGAAGTAACTGTTTTGCGTTTGTGCGCTTCGTGAACTCTTCGTGTTTATTTTGTAAACGGTCACAATTTTAAATTCACGGTAGAGTGACAACAATAGGCTAGCAGTTTTTGTGTTCTCAACAACACTCCGTTGAAAATAAGGTTACTTCCGCGTTTGGTTAATTACAATTTCCTATTTATTAGATTTATGGAAGGTAAGACTTCAATTACCTACTTTAATTTTATGCAAATTTAAGCACGCGATTTGAGGAATTTTGACGCCGCGCCGGTCGGTGCCAAAAGGTTGTAAAAATAGACGCAGTTTGCATTGGTACCTTTTTTGTCATTGAATCATTAGATTTCTTAGTAGGCCGTGATTAAGATTGTTTTGTCCTCCTTGTAAGTGCAGTCTGAATCATTCGTCGATAAATCACCGCCTTTGTTGATTGGCGATAAGGCGTTTAACAAAAGAATTGTCGGTTTATTATACGCCTACTTTGTTGTGATTGTAAACAAAATAAACTTGATTGATAGGGAAAAATGGAAGGGTCCAATGCATTCCAAACGCGCATTTCATTTACCACGAAGAACGAAAAACTGAAAAAAAAACATAGTTTTGGCCATCCGGATTAGAAGCGGAAACTGTACACGCACCTTTATTATGTAAAATGCGGTTTTCTTATCGCATTACACTCTCGCTAAGTAATTAATTAGAGTGGTTTTTTACTTACACCTTTGCCTTTATCTCTCAGTCGCATGTAACGCCACCCAAACAAATAAGGCGATCAAAATTGTACCGTAAATGAACCAAAGATCGTACTACACAATGAACCTTGGTACTTCCATTTAGTTTCATTGAACGAGCCTACTGCGTTTCTCGAATTGTCCGTAATTGTAGATGAGAGAATTACAATTCGTTGCACACAATTTCAAGACCATACGATCCCAGTTTTTCCTTGGAAAAATCGGCACTTTCTTTCAGCACCCCAAATTTGGAGAGGGCGAGAAAGTCCATTAGAAATTTTAATCGCGTTGGTGGGCAGGTCGGTCGGTTCGTGTTTTCGTTTTATCCTTTGCCTCCGTGGACCGTAGGATCCAAGTGAAAGTGGGAGCATCGTCTGGAACCTGAAGGTTTCGGCTTCTTAATCCCAGTTTGATTCCGATCGGCGTCAGTTCATAGTTGACCAGATAAACACCCCACGCAATAAAGTCAAAAGTCCAAAGGCGTTCCAAAACTTCTTGCGTTGACGTTTTTTTAAGCATTTGCGCAATCCCAATTGTGACTACTACTCTTCTAGTGTAAAAACAGTCACGTCATCGCAGGTAGCCGCCCACTGCAAATCTGGTCGCCTGTGCGGTGTATGTACACAAATTAAGCCATTATATTTTCATCTTTATCTAGCCCATTCGAAGAAAAATGTTATGCAGTGGGCGGCTACCTGCGACTGTTTTTATACTAGACGACGTATAAATGTATTGCAGTTCTTAGTCAAGTGTATATAGTACATACGTACCAAAAAATGTAATGGTTTAGCCATAATATGGAAAAAGGTCAAAAAACCTTTATTTTGACATACTTGAACCAATGTGGTTCTGCCTCGGGTTCTGCTCTTCCATGTCTAAGAATACGTGTACCAAATTTGGTTCCTATCGCTTCAGCCCTTTAGCCAGAAATACAGACAGACCGACCGACATGCTCGAGATGTTGTTTATTCCGATTCCTGACTTCATTTTTGACCGTGCGGGTGATAAAGGGTCATGTATGGCTCGTGCGATTGGGTCAGGTCCACGTGTACCTACAATCGGATAGACGTCGCACATAAACAGGTAGTTCCCGAAATTGGGGTGTGCACTAGGATTATTTTACTTTTAGTAACTTTCCAGACGGTGATAGCTTCGGTCTAGCGCCCCCTCGCCTCGCCCTGTCTATATCTAAAAAAAGTCGGGTCATCACGGATGCATATTCGGACAGTAGAACACGGACACTATCTCCCACCACCTTTGGTGACGTCACAGAGTCATGGCCGTGTGGTGCGGAGATTCACTGGGGGAAGGGGATTTCTGCGGTGATGTAACTAAGAAGTGACCTTGTTTTACGGTGCCTGATCGTGTTCCGAGATTTCTTCGGCGAAGAAACCCTGATCACGTGTTCGGTCGTTATGCGTTATTCCACATGGTTTAAGAAATGGTTTTTTTTTGTTAAAATTTTTTGAGTTTTGAGTTTGTTAGAAATGACATGAAAATTAACAGAAAGATATTAAAATGAATTAGAAATTGGATGATGATTCCTGTACCACTCTACATTTGAGAGCACAAAGGCAAGATTCAATGTTCATTTCTCTATTTCTTTATCATAATGATTTTAGTGGGGGGTATTCGAGAGCCCCCCGGTCATAGTTCACGCTCAAAACGTTCAGTCCTAAAACCTCGTTCTAAAAATTGTTGTGTAAGTGCTTTGTGCTAAGGGTGAACGTATCGTCCGGGGGTTTTCCAAAAATTATGGTGTAAGTGCTAAGGGTTCTAAACGTTTTGGGGAGAATGCAGAAACCGGGGGGTCTGGAGAAGTATGGAATACTCCCCAGGGACAAAGGAAAGATAATATTCATTTCTCTAGAACCATCATAAAGATCTTCCTTTACTGAGGGTATTGTATACCTCCCAGATTCTCCGGTCATACGTTCACCCTCAAAACGTTCAGCCCTAAAGCCCTTTCCGAAAAATTACTGTTTAAGTGCTAACAGCTCTAAACGTTTTGGTGGGGAACGTATCTCTGGGGGGTATGGAATATCCTCCAGGAACAAAGGAAAAATTAAATGTTCATTTCTCTGGCACTGGATCCTAAAGATCGTCGTTTAGTGGGGGTCGTGGAATACTCCCCAGATCCCCGGCCATACGTTCACCCTCAAAATGTTTTGCCCTAAAACCTCTTTCCAAAAATTATTGTGTAAGTGCTAAGGGCTCTAAACGTTTTGGGGAGAATATAGAAACCGGGGGGTTGAAGGGGTATGGAATAACCCCCCCCCCCGGACGGACCAAAGAAAAGATTCAATGTTCATTTGTCTACAACCTCGTCTACAACTATCATAAAGATCGTCAATTAAGGGGGGGGGGGTTATGAACCGGGGGGGTCGTACGTTCACCCTCAAAACGTTTAGCCTTAACATCTCTTTCCAAAAATTGTTGTGTAAGTGCTCATGGTGAACGTATCAAGAGAGGTTCTGTGGGATATGGAATACCCCCCCCCCTCCCAAGTAACAAAAAGATGCCATGTTTATTTATTATTATTTTACTATCATAAAGGTCTTCGTTTACGGGGGTTGGGGGGTATTTTTCAGACCCCCCGGCCATACGTTACCCGCCAAGTTGAGCCCTAAAACCTCTTTCCAAAAATTATTGTGTAACCGCTAAGGACTCTTAAACGTTTTGGGGAAAATGCAGAAACCGGGGGGTCTGGAGAAGTATGGAATACTCCCCAGTGACAAAGAAAAGATATAATATTCATTTTTCTAGAACCATCATAAAGATCGTCCTTTACTGAGGGTATTCTATACCTCCCAGACGTTCACCCTCAAAACGTTCAGCCCTAAAGCCAAAAATTACTGTTTAAGTGCTAACAGCTCTAAACGTTTTGGTGGGGAACGTATCACCGGGGGGTCTGAGGGATATGGAATATCCTCCAGGAACAAAGGAAAAATGAAATGTTCATTTCTTCTCTGGAACTGGATCTTAAAGACCGTCGTTTAGTGGGGGTCGTGGAATACTCCCCAGACCCCTGGCCATACGTTCACCCTCAAAATGTTTTGCCCTAAAACCTCTTTCCAAAAATTATTGTGTAAGTACTAAGGGCTCTAAACGTTTTGGGGAGAATATAGAAATCGGGGGGTTGAAGGGGTATGGAATACCCCCCCCCCACCCGAACCAAAGAAAAGATTCAATGTTCATTTGTCTACAACTATCATAAAGATCTTCAATTAAGGGTGGGGAGGGGGGTATTTTGTACCCCCAGCGTGGGGGTCGTACGTTCACCCTTAAAACGTTTAGCCTTAAAATCTCTTTCCAAAAATTGTTATGTACCTAAGTGCTCATGGTGAACATATCAAGAGGGGTTCTGTGGGATATGGAATACCCCCCCCCCCCCCAAGTAACTCAAAGATGCCATGTTTTATTTATTATTATTTTACTAAGGTCTTCGTTTACCGCGGGGGGGGGGGGTATTTTTCCAGACCCCTCTGCCATACGTTACCCGCCAAGTTGAGCCCTAAAACCTCTTTTCAAAAATTATTGTGTGACCGCTAAGGACTCTTAAACGTTTTGGGGAAAATGCAGAAACCGGGGGGTCTGGGAGAAGTATGGAATACTCCCGAGGGACAAAGAAAAGATATAATATTCATTTTTCTAGAACCATCATAAAGATCTTCCTTTACTGAGGGTATTCTATACCTCCCAGACGTTCACCTCAAAACGTTCAGCCCTAAAGCCAAAAATTACTGTTTAAGTGCTAACAGCTCTAAACGTTTTGGTGGGGAACGTATCACCGGGGGGTCTGAGGGATATGGAATATCCTCCAGGAACAAAGGAAAAGTGAAATGTTCATTTCTCTGGAACTGGATCTTAAAGACCGTCGTTTAGTGGGGGTCGTGGAATACTCCCCAGACCCCCGGCCATACGTTCACCCTCAAAATGTTTTGCCCTAAAACCTCTTTCCAAAAATTATTGTGTAAGTGCTAAGGGCTCTAAGCGTTTTGGGGAGAATCGAGGGAGAATATAGAAACCAGAGGGTTGAAGGGGTATGGAATATCCCCCCCCCCCCCCGAAACCAAAGAAAAGATACAATGTTCATTTGTCTACAACCTCGTCTACAACTATCATAAACATCGTCAATTAAGGAGGGGTGGTTATGAACCGGGTGGGTCGTACGTTCACCCTCAAAACGTTTAGCCTTAACATCTCTTTCCAAAAATTGTTGTGTAAGTGCTCATGGTGAACGTATCAAGAGAGGTTCTGTGGGATATGGAATACCCCCCCCCCTCCCAAGTAACAAAAAGATGCCATGTTTATTTATTATTATTTTACTATCATAAAGGTCTTCGTTTACGGGGGTGGGGGGTATTTTTTAGACCCCCCGGCCATACGTTACCCGCCAAGTTGAGCCCTAAAACCTCTTTCCAAAAGTTATTGTGTAACCGCTAAGGACTCTTAAACGTTTTGGGGAAAATGCAGAAATCGGGGTGTCTGGAAGGGTATGGACGAGGGTATGGAATACCCCCCAGGAACAAAGATGTTCATTTCTCTAGAACCATCACAAAGATCTTCGTTTAGTGGTTGTGGTGTTATGGAGACCCCCCGGTCATACGTTTAGCCCTAAATCAAAAATTATTATATCAAGGGCTCAACGTTTTGGAGAGAATGTAGAACCGGAGGGGGGGGGGGCAATACCGTCCACCCAGGAACAAAGGAAAGTAGTGTTCACAACTATATACAAGGTCGTTTACTAGGGGGATTGCATACCTCTCAGACCTCCCGGCATATATTCACCCTCAAAACGTTCAGCTCGAAAACCTCTTTCCAAATTTATTGTGTACGTGGTAAGGATTCTAAACGTTTTGAAAATGTTTACCGCAGAACCACCCGGAACGGCCGTGCACGTGACCAGGGTTTTTTCGACGGAGAAATCCCAGAGCACGACCTTGCGCCATGAAACAAGGTTACTCCTTACTTACATAACCGTGGATTACTAAGTCCACGACCTTGTGAGTGATGGGGGGAGGAGAGTGTCTGCCGAGGTGTCTGCGTTCTGCTTAGGACCAATATTGTTTCTAATTTGCTGATGATTAAACAAGGTTATACTTCCGGCATAGACGGCTGCGCCGCCTCACCTCGCCCCGTAATTCGAAGGAATGACGTTTATACATTCGGTTCAAGCGTTTCACAACAAGGTACGAAACGATAAAGTTATCTCTTGTTGTTTTGCGATATCTTCTGTTTGCAAAATAACGAGTTAGGCGAGCTGGCCATCGTACCATTCGGTATTCAGCTCGCGTATTTTTAAAGCTCGTAATTGCATGAATCAAATGCGCTATTGAAACTCGACAGTCATCCCGTGTAATTAGATGTAATTGTATGATAGCGGTGAAGGACTCGCGCGTTGTGCCTTATATTTTTAGTTTATTGACAACTCGGTGCGCGTGCACTTCGCCCAATTGGAACAAGCTAATAATTATGCCCTTCTTTCGGTAGGCCAGATGAAATGGACAGTCTGCATGTCTCCATGAATCAGCAGACTGGTAGCAAAACGTCAAGCCGAAGCACCTCACCCTGTCGACCACGCGCCGACCATCATCAGCACCACCACACCAAAACGCTAAGTCACGGATCTGCCGATAGTACTAAGGTAACAACTGGGGAAGGTCGTGTGAACTTCCCATACCCGAATCTGTTTCGTTTAACCCTGAACTTTTTGTAATCATCTCATAAATGTTGTATTAATTGCCATCGATGTATTGATTCGAGTGGCATCGTTCACATATCCATCAGTAATGAGACTGACCGATACTCAGATCGCGGACGCATCCATAGGCGCGGGTTTGCCTAGGAATTTGCCTAACATTCGGCATATTTTTTGGTCGTGGAACCTTGGACTTGCTATTTCTGTGTGTTCGCAGTTACAACGTATTCAAAAGGTGTTTATACATAACAAGTGTGCGTGTGCCAATAATCAGTTTTAGTTGTGTGCGAAACAGACGAAACTGCGGTGCTAATTATTTTGTCGCTCTAATTGGAAGTTGTTTATTTCGCTCGCCGGGCACCTCCAGAATAAATTAGCGCGTCGATGATGCAAGGAAATTATCGTTACAATTTTGGAGGTCTGTGATTGGTGCATTTATGGTCTTATTCTTAATTAAGGAAGAGGTAAGCGTTTGGTTTGGTCGATTCTCTGCCATGGTGAAAAAAAAACACTTGCTTTTGGTCGTCGTTTGTCTGTTGTTAAATTTCGAGCAAACCACTAGTTTTGCGCTAACCCCCTCTCTCCAATCCAATTTTCTTCTTCCAAAAAGAAACTAATTTCCGCACTGGAATTTGTGGAGGTGGATGCAGTTGCGAAATTAAAGAATGGAAGCTGTCGACTTGGCTGCTTGAAAAACCTCGAGAAAATCCCCGAGCCAAAGGTGAGTTCGGCACAAATCTTGGCGTCGTAAAGTTTTTTGGGATAGTGAATTTGTGCCCAGCTCACCTGGCACTGGTTTTTGAACCATTACTCTTCTTTGGAAGTTTAATAAGAGAGCTTTATCAATGCCGAGCGGGCTGAAGATGAGCTCAGCACAAATTACTTGGCCAAATAGACCTTTACTATGCCTAGGCTTGTGACGAACCCACCTTCGGCTCGCTCGGCTCTGGTTTTTAAACTATTACTCTTCTTTGGAAGTTTAATAAGAGAGCTTTATCAATGCCGAGCGAGCTGAAGATGAGCTCAGCACAAATTACTTGGCCAAATAGACCTTTGCTATGCCTAGGCTTGTGTCGAACCCACCTTCGGCTCGCTCTGCACTGATTTTTAAACTATTACTCTTCTTTGGAAGTTTAATAAGAGAGCTTTATCAATGCCGAGCGGGCTGAAGATGAGCTCAGCACAAATTACTTGGCCAAATAGACCTTTGCTATGCCTAGGCTTGTGTCGAACCCACCTTCGGCTCGCTCTGCACTGATTTTTAAACTATTACTCTTCTTTGGAAGTTTAATAAGAGAGCTTTATCAATGCCGAGCGGGCTGAAGATGAGCTCAGCACAAATTACTTGGCCAAATAGACCTTTACTATGCCTAGGCTTGTGTCGAACCCATCTTGGGCTCGCTCGGCACTGGTTTTTAAACTATTACTCTTCTTTGGAAGTTTAATAAGAGAGCTTTATCAATGCCGAGCGGGCTGAAGATGAGCTCAGCACAAATTACTTGGCCAAATAGACCTTTGCTATGCCTAGGCTTGTGTCGAACCCACCTTCGGCTCGCTGTGCACTGATTTTTAAACTATTACTCTTCCTTGGAAGTTTAATAAGAGAGCTTTATCAATGCCGAGCGGGCTGAAGATGAGCTCAGCACAAATTACTTGGCCAAATAGACCTTTGCTATGCCTAGGCTTGTGTCGAACCCACCTTCGGCTCGCTCTGCACTGATTTTTAAACTATTACTCTTCTTTGGAAGTTTAATAAGAGAGCTTTATCAATGCCGAGCGGGCTGAAGATGAGCTCAGCACAAATTACTTGGCCAAATAGACCTTTACTATGCCTAGGCTTGTGACGAACCCACCTTCGGCTCGCTCTGCACTGGTTTTTAAACTATTACTCTTCTTTGGAAGTTTAATAAGAGAGCTTTATCAATGCCGAGCGAGCTGAAGATGAGCTCAGCACAAATTACTTGGCCAAATAGACCTTTGCTATGCCTAGGCTTGTGTCGAACCCACCTTCGGCTCGCTCTGCACTGATTTTTAAACTATTACTCTTCCTTGGAAGTTTAATAAGAGAGCTTTATCAATGCCGAGCGGGCTGAAGATGAGCTCAGCACAAATTACTTGGCCAAATAGAACCTTTACTCTGCTAGGCTTGTGACGACCCACCTTCCGGCTCGCTCGGCTCTGGTTTTTAACTATTACTCTTCTTTGGAAGTTTAAAGAGAGCTTTTATCAAATGCCGAGCGGACTGAGATGAGCTCAGCAACAATTACTTGGCCAAATAGACCTTTACTATGCCTAGGCTTGTGTCGAACCCACCTTCGGCTCGCTCGGCACTGGTTTTTAAACTATTACTCTTCCTTGGAAGTTTAATAAGAGAGTTTTATCAATGCCGAGCTGGCTGAAGATGAGCTCAGCACAAATTACTTGGCCAAATAGACCTTTACTATGCCTAGGCTTGTGACGAACCCACCTTCGGCTCGCTCGGCTCTGGTTTTTAAACTATTACTCTTCTTTGGAAGTTTTAAGAGAGCTTTATCAATGCCGAGCGGACTGAAGATGAGCTCAGCACAAATTACTTGGCCAAATAGACCTTTACTATGCCTAGGCTTGTGTCGAACCCACCTTCGGCTCGCTCGGCACTGGTTTTTAAACTATTACTCTTCCTTGGAAGTTTAATAAGAGAGTTTTATCAATGCCGAGCTGGCTGAAGATGAGCTCAGCACAAATTACTTGGCCAAATAGACCTTTGCTATGCCTAGGCTTGTGTCGAACCCACCTTCGGCTCGCTCTGCACTGGTTTTTAAACTATTACTCTTCTTTGGAAGTTTTAAGAGAGCTTTATCAATGCCGAGCGGGCTGAAGATGAGCTCAGCACAAATTACTTGGCCAAATAGACCTTTACTATGCCTAGGCTTGTGTCGAACCCACCTTCGGCTCGCTCGGCACTGGTTCTTAAACTATTACTCTTCTTTGGAAGTTTAATAAGAGAGCTTTATCAATGCCGAACGAATCGAAGGTGAGTTCAGCACAAGCCTAGGCATAGTAAAGGTCCGTCCAACTGATAACTCTCCATTCCAATGTTGGTTTTCCACGATTTAAAATTGGTTGTATTTTCTTCTCTGCGTAACGCATGACTTAACTTAAGTTCCCATGGCCTAGAATGATGAGGCAACAGGTCTCCTGGCCAGACTTTGACTACACCATTTAGTAAGAAAATAATACTGCGTACTTCTAAGTACACGATAATAGCGCATTCGTTACTTCAAGGTGTTTCGACGACCTTTCCACACTTGCGTCAGTATTGCTAATTCTCACGCCGTGATTAGCAAACTTAATTCCAGCTCGTCCCAATTTGACAGTCCGTTCCGATTTCAAATTTGTAGCCCTCGAACGGTCGTCGAGCACTTCAGCGGTGATGATTATCGCCTCGTTCATACTTCTGAAGTGCCTAATAATTACGCATTGATAGTGTGAGAATTAATAAAATTGGCAGTTGTGACATTTTGAATTTCCCGCTCCGTATAATTGAGCGTTGTCAAAATATGCGTTTTTTCAGTCTCACGATGGCGTAGGACATCGTTCTTCCACACGTCACCGGTCCCCAACGTCGTACAGAGCGGAAATGGACGATTCCGCCCACGTGGTGCAGGACGACTCGGTGACGGCCGGCGAAGGGGATGAGTCCGATTTGGGTCTTGCTTCCTCGTTTTTGTCAAACGGCAGCTCGGAGCACGTGCTACAATATGACGAGACGGATGGTGCTCCGAACACGCGGACCAGCGCCGCCATCGAACATTTAAACAGCAAAATCAAACGTACAAAGGACTGCATTCGTCTTGAGCAAATGTTCAGAGACGGTTAGTGGTAACCTCAAAATTAATGACCAACTGTCATTGAGATTTTCAGAGAACGTCAACGAGTACCTTCAACTGGCAGCAAACGCAGACAAGCAACAGTTACAAAGAATAAAGGCAGTCTTCGAAAAGAAAAACCAAAAAAGCGCCCACATAATCTCGCAGTACCAGAAGAAGCTGGACACGTACCAAAAGCGCATGCGCGAATTCGAAACGCACGGCGTCGCGCAGACGCACAGGCCCCCGCGAGAGGTGCTGCGCGACATGGGACAGGGACTCAAGTAAGTAACCCCCTCCCCCTCTCCTTCGCGCTCTACGTTTCCCCTAAATTTTAGAAACGTCGGCGGAAACATCCGCGACGGAATCACCGGCTTCAGCGGCTCCGTCATGTCGAAACCGCGCGAGTTCGCCCACCTCATCAAGAACAAATTCGGGAGCGCCGATAACATTAATCAGCTGTCGAGTACGTAACCCACTTCGATCATTCATATCTCGATATCTCTAAATTGTTTTGTGTTTAATCCCACGTTCTCTCGGAATAAGCTAACATTAAAGTCAAAAAATCGAATTCCTAGTGGAAGGTAAAATTAGTGGTTGGTTACTTTGGCTACCGAACTCCTTTCGGAGGTCGAATTTCGACGCGAACGCGAAATTCAACCTCCTTAGTTAGCTGCTGCATGATTTCACTACATCGACGGGCACACGACGACTGTAGAAACAAACAAAGTTTTGGCGGCAAATGCTTCCAGTGAAATACTGGGGTCACTTGAATTTGAACTTTCAGTTTGAACCTGACTTCGAACACTCGAACTTTTAGGTTTAAAAATGCGCGTTTGCAACTCAAAACTTGGTGTTTTGATTTTTGGAATTTTTAGAACCTGAACATTATTTCTGAATTTGTATTACAACTTTTAGTTCGAAAAAGCGGACTTTTACTTTAAAATGCGAGTTTTAAATTCGCCTTTTCGTTTAATCTCGACTTGAACTTTTAGTTCTAATTGCTCACTGAAATTATGTTTTGATTGTTTTGAATTTTTAGAAATTGAATTTGATTTCTAAATTTGTATTTCAACTTTTAGTTCGAAAATGTGAACTTTTACGAGTTTGAACCTTTCAATTCGAGTTTTAAATGCGCTTTTTCGCTTAATCTCGAACTGAACTTAGTTCTAATTGGTTACTTGAAGTTATGTTTTGGATTTTTAGAACCTCAACTTTATTTCTGGTTTTGTATTTCAACTTTAGGTCGAAAAAGCGAACTTTTACGAGTTTGAGCCTTTCAATCCGAGTTTTGAATGCGCTTTTTCACTAAATCGCGAACTGAACTTTTAGTTCTAATTTTGGTTACTCGAAGTTATGTTTTTGATTTTTGGATTTGTAGAACCTGAACTTTATTTCTGGTTTTGTATTTCAACTTTTAGGTCGAAAATGTGAACTTTTACGAGTTTGAACCTTTCAATCCGAGTTTTGAATGCGCTTTTTCGCTTAATCTCGAACTGAACCTAGTTCTAATTGGTTACTTGAAGTTATGTTTTGGATTTTTAGAACCTCAACTTTATTTCTGGTTTTGTATTTCAACTTTAGGTCGAAAAAGCGAAACTTTTACGAGTTTGAGCCTTTCAATAGAACCTGAACTTTATTTCTGGTTTTGTATTTCAACTTTTAGGTCGAAAATGTGAACTTTTACGAGTTTGAACCTTTCAATCCGAGTTTTGAATGCGCTTTTTCGCTTAATCTCGAACTGAACCTAGTTCTAATTGGTTACTCGAAGTTACGTTTTGATTTTTTGAATTGTTAGAACCTGAACTTGATTTCTGAATTTATATTTCAACTTTTAGTTAGAAAAAGCGAACTTTTAATCTTTCAATCCGAGTTTTAAATGCGCCTTTTCACCAAATCGCGAACTGAACTTTTAGTTCTAATTTTGGTTACTCGAAGTTATGTTTTTGATTTTTGTATTTTTAGAACCTGAACTTTATTTCTGGTTTTGTATTTCAACTTTTAGGTCGAAAATGTGAACTTTTACGAGTTTGAACCTTTCAATCCGAGTTTTGAATGCGCTTTTTCGCTTAATCTCGAACTGAACCTAGTTCTAATTGGTTACTCGAAGTTATGTTTTGATTTTTTGAATTGTTAGAACCTGAACTTGATTTCTGAATTTATATTTCAACATTTAGTTAGAAAAAGCGAACTTTTACGAGTTTGAGCCTTTCAATCCGAGGTTTGAATGTACTTTTTCGCATAATCTCCAACTGAACTTAGTTCTAATAGGTTACTCGAAGTTATGTTTTGATTTTTTGAATTGTTAGAACCTGAACTTGATTTCTGAATTTATATTTCAACTTTTAGTTCGAAAAAGCGAACATTTACGAGTTTGAACCTTTAAATCCGAGTTCTATTCGCCTTTTTGCTTAATCTCGACTTGAACTTTTAGTTCTAATTGCTCACTCGAAGTTACATTCTTGATTTTTTGAATTTTTAGGACTTGAACTTTAATTCTGGATTTGTATTTCAACTTTTAGTTCGAAAAAGCGGATTTTTACTTTAAAATGCGAGTTTTAAATTCGCCTTTTCGTTTAATCTCGACTTGAACTTTTAGTTCTAATTGCTCACTGAAATTATGTTTTGATTGTTTTGAATTTTTAGAAATTGAATTTTATTTCTAAATGTGTATTTCGACTTTTAGTTCGAAAATGTGATCTTTTACGAGTTTGGACCTTTCAATCCGAGTTTTAAATGCGCCTTTTCACTAAATCGCGAACTGAACTTAGTTCTAATTGGTTACTCGAAGTTATGTTTTGATTTTTTGAATTGTTAGAACCTGAAGTTTATTTCTGAATTTGTATTTCAACTTTTAGTTCGAAAATGCGAACTTTTACGAGTTTGAACCTTTCAATCCGAGTTTTAAATGCGCCTTTTCACTAAATCGCAAACTGAACTTAGTTCTGATTGGTTACTCGAAGTTATGATTTAGATTTTTGGATTTTTAGAACCTAAACTTTATTTCTGGTTTTGTATTTCAACGTTTAGGTTGAAAAAGCGAACTTTTACGAGTTTGAACCTTTCAATCCGAGTTTTAAATTCTCTTAATCTCGAACTGAACTTAGTTCTAATTGGTTACTCGAAGTTACGTTTTGATTTTTTGAATTGTTAGAACCTGAACTTGATTTCTGAATTTATATTTCAACTTTTAGTTAGAAAAAGCGAACTTTTAATCTTTCAATCCGAGTTTTAAATGCGCCTTTTCACCAAATCGCGAACTGAACTTTTAGTTCTAATTTTGGTTACTCGAAGTTATGTTTTTGCTTTTTGTATTTTTAGAACCTGAACTTTATTTCTGGTTTTGTATTTCAACTTTTAGGTCGAAAAAGCGAACTTTTACGAGTTTGAGTCTTTCAATCCGAGTTTTGAATGCGCTTTTTTGCTTAATCACGAACTGAACTTAGTTCTAATTGGTTACTCGAAGTTATGTTTTGATTTTTTGAATTGTTAGAACCTGAACTTCATTTCTGGATTTATTTTTCAACTTTTAGTTCGAAAATGTGAACTTTTACGAGTTTGAACCTTTCAATCCGAGTTTTAAATGCGCCTTTTCACTAAATCGCGAACTGAACTTTTAGTTCTAATTTTGGTTACTCGAAGTTATGTTTTTGATTTTTGTATTTTTAGAACCTGAACTTTATTTCTGGTTTTGTATTTCAACTTTTAGGTCGAAAATGTGAACTTTTACGAGTTTGGACATTTCAATCCGAGTATTAAATGCGCCTTTTCACTAAATCGCGAACTGAACTTAGTTCTAATTGGTTACTCGAAGTTATGTTTTGATTTTTTGAATTGTTAGAACCTGAACTTTATTTCTGAATTTGTATTTCAATTTTTAGTTCGAAAATGCGAACTTTTACGAGTTTGAACCTTTCAATCCGAGTTTTAAATGCGCCTTTTCACTAAATCGCGAACTTAACTTTTAGTTCTAATTTTGGTTACTCGAAGTTATGTTTTTGATTTTTGTATTTTTAGAACCTGAACTTTATTTCTGGTTTTGTATTTAAACTTTTAGGTCGAAAAAGCGAACTTTTACGAGTTTGAGTCTTTCAATCCGAGTTTTGAATGCGCTTTTTTGCTTAATCACGAACTGAACTTAGTTCTAATTGGTTACTCGAAGTTATGTTTTGATTTTTTGAATTGTTAGAACCTGAACTTCATTTCTGGATTTATTTTTCAACTTTTAGCTCGAAAAAGCGAACTTTTACGAGTTTGAGCCTTTCAATCCGAGTTTTGAATGCGCCTCTTCACTAGATCGCGAACTGAACTTTTAGTTCTAATTGGTTACTCGAAGTTATGTTTTTGATTTTTGTATTTTTAGAACCTGAACTTTATTTCTGAATTTGTATTTCAACTTTTAGTTCGAAAAAGGGAACTTTTACGAGTTTGAGTCTTTCAATCCGAGTTTTATATGCGCTTTTTCGCTTAATCTCGAACTGAACTGAGTTCTAATTGGTTACTCGAAGTTATATTTTGATTTTTTGAATTTTTAGAACCTTAACTTTATTTCTGAATTTGTATTTCAACTTTTAGTTCGAAAATGTGAACTTTTACGAGTTGGAACCTTTCAATCCTAGTTTTAAATGCGCTTTTTCGCTTAAGCTCGTTCGAGCTTAGTTCTAATTGGTCACTCGAAGTTATGTTTTGAATTTTTTAATTTTTAAAACCTGAACCTTATTTCTGAATTTGTATTTCAACGTTTAGTTCGAAAAAGCGAACTTTTACGAATTTGAATCTTTCAATTCGAGTTTTAAATGCGCTTTTCGCTTAATCTGGATCTGAACTTTTAGTTCTAATTGGTCACTCGAGCTTATTTTATGATTTTTTGAATTTTTAGAACCTGAACTTTTGAAGTGCGAATTTGGTTTTAAATAACAAACTGAACGTTTGCCAAAATTTTGGTTTATCACGGCGTGTACGTCTGTCGGCATGTATTATAGAGAAAAGTATCATCCATCCACCTTTTGTTTTGATGCTACAGCTCGAACCATTTATGCTACTGGTTTTGGTTTTCTTTTTTCTGAAAAGTAATGAACCTTGTAATATAAATCCCCGGTTTTTTGGACTAATTTTGCTTATAACATGCACTAGTAATTGTGGCATGGCTGCACATTGCACTGTAACCTCGTGGTATAATTCGTAGCATGGTACATAGGGCCCGGTGCGACCGGATCGGACGGTGGCGCCCCTAGCGGCGGCAGTGACAACGCCGAGAAATCCCACCACGGCTCGGCGACGCTTCCGGCCAATCTCCACGCCGGCGCCTCGCAACCGTCGATGAACCAGACGGTACCCAATAAGTTCCCGAGCGACGAGGGGAGCGAGTGCAGTAGTGTGACTAGTGAGAGTTTGGAACAGTATCACTCGCGTACTCAGGAGACGGGCGGTCAGGGTGTGCACTTTAATTTAAAGACAATTTATTCGCAACTGCAAAGTCGGCAGGAGGAAATCGATCGACTAAAGGAGAAGGTGGAGGGCGCGAAGATGCTGCAGCAGGACGTCCAATTTTTGAGCGCCGCACTGCAGGTGAGTTCGACCGGCGCGCCTGCGCACTTTGTAATTGCCTCCTCAGGAGGAGCGGTTTCGAACCGAACGGCTCGAGGAACAAATCAACGATCTAACCGAACTGCACCAAAACGAGGTGGAGAATCTTAAACAGGCGATGGCCGACATGGAGGAGAAAGTGCAATATCAGAGCGAGGAGCGTCTGAGGGACATTCACGAAATGCTGGAGCATTGCCAGACCAAGGTGAGTCTCGCAAACGGTGCGCGCGCATCTAACCTCCTTTCCCAGATACAAAAAATGGAACACCAAGCGGCCCAACAACAGCAGTACGTCACTCTGGAGGGCCTCGATAACTCAAACGCGCGTGCGCTCGTCGTCAAACTCATAAACGTCCTGTTAACCGTACTGCAAGTCGTGCTTCTCTTGGTCGCGACGGGCGCCGGTATCATTATGCCTTTCCTACGTACAAGGTAGGTCCGCTCGTCTCTCTTGCTCGTAAGTCGAAAAGTTGGTTCTAACCGGTTTTATTTAAAATAGGAATTTCGATAAAACCGTTACGGTGACCGAAGTCATGGATGGCGCGCCCGCACGAGCTATTTTATCCAGTTCCGGGTCAAGAGTTTTACCGGCGGCCGTTGCAAAATCTTAATCGGTAATCTTTTGTTTTCCTTTTTCTTAACAACCACTAACTCTTCGGATAGAACCGACTCTTCGACTTATTTTTTATGTGTGAACGCTGCTCGCGCTACTAACACGCAATTGTTTTAGTGAGGTGATTGATGCTTTTAGCTAGCGTTTTTCAACGCCTTTAGCACTCAAATCCCAATTTCTTAACCTGAAATGACAGTTTCAGTGATGGATGCCTTTTGGCCTGTCGAAAAGGCCTGATGTTTTTCTAACCTCTCTTTTCTGTTCTTCTTTTCATTTTTCCAGGTTTAATTGGTGAAACTGTACCAGTTAAATCAGCTGCTTTGTAACTTTTTTTTAGAATTAAGCGGTAGAGCAAGAACACTCCCTGAGCTTTCGCTTCGCACGGCAAATGACGTCCGATGCTAAATGATGTGAATTTTTACAGAGTTAGAATCCTTACGACTGTCTCAATCGGCCTCGGCGCGCTATTCATACTGAAACAGTGGCCTGAAGTGCAGGACATCGGATCGCATGTGATGAAACGACTCAAGGACACGCTGGACCCGGTGAAATAGCGTCCGGCCTGTTCGTTTTAGATGAATTTTAAAATGTAGCTTAAAGTCCTTCCTGTGTAAGTCTGTGAGTTTCTTTCGAATTAACCACACAACACGAAAACGCCCGACTGATTTTATCGGTAGAATTGTGTTCGCGGTAAAGATTTGCTCTAAAAACAGACCAATTTTTTATTATATTTTTCTGTTATAATTGTACGGGGGGAGTAAAGGCCACCCTCCCGTCGAGAACTGTTGATATTTTTATTGTTGATACCTGTTTCGGTGGATGTTGGTGGATTTATCTTTGTTTATAATCATCTTAGGTGAATACTACTACTATTACTACACATGTTCGTCCATTAGCAGTGTAGGTCATTTTTACTAAGATTTGTTAGGTAGATCAATTGTAGGCGACTTCTATTTATTTTTCCGAATGGCTGTAGAGTACGTTTGTACGCGTTTTTGTTTTTAATTTATTTATGTATAGGTCATTTTAATGATACCATTGTTTTGCGATGTTTAAATTGTATTTATATTTTTGTAGTTTCTCGCATATAATTTACACTATAAGTTTGTGAACCAACGCAGAAATGCAAGAATATTAAATCATTCGTAATGCATTTGTCTTGTTCGACCTTTCTTAGCTGTTTCAGGTCATTGCTGCGGCCCCAGAAATACAAATTGCAAGATCACGCGTCAAATACATTTGGAAAAGCGAAAACGAAAACGAAATGGCGTTCAACTGCTCGACATTTCAAAATCAGTTACACTACCCCCTCCTTACAGTATGTTATTTTCAAATACCGCATGTTTTTTCAGTGTGAAACGAAGATAACCATAGGAGAGGACATACCGCTACGGTTAGGGAACACACCTTACCTCTGGACGTACGGAAAAAAAAAGACTAAATGCTCTGTGCTGTCCTTCAACCGTTTTGCGCAGATGCCGAGCAGCAGGGAGCGAAGTTTTCTCGTACTAACCACTAATCTTTGAATGTCACGTCGCAATTTGTTATTATTTACCTTTTCTATAAAATGTTGATATTTTGGAGCATCGCGTGCTCCAAGCTTTGTTTTATATGTACCATTACCTGAACCATGTTTGTTTGTTATACTATACAGGTCGTATTTTGTTAAATACTAGCGGTCCAGACGAACGTCATACTGCTTTTAGGAAATCTCGTTTTTCCCCACTTCCTGTGGAAGCTTCAGTGTACACAACGCCTTCAAAAAACCTAAATGTCATGTTTCTTTTTGACTGGTGCCCGTTGGAATTTCGGGAAGTGTTTTACTACAAAAACCTTCGCGGGTATACGTTTAACAGTATTTTTAAAGTCACTAAATATAGAAAGTACCGCAATCCATTGGGCTCGTGTGTTAGAGAGAGAACGCATGTTTTTTGCCCAAAAATGGCGGAAGTTACCAGATTCTAGTAACTTTAATGTTAGGGATTGTTCCACCTGTTTGGAGATATCTGTATATAATTTTAATAAAACATGACAGTACTATCAAGTTAGGTTATAAAAAATGACAGCTATTCAGATTTTATTTGTCAATTTTTTTTAAGTTGGAAGCAAATTTGCCCAAAATGGGGGATGATTGCGGTACTTTCTATATTTAGTGACTAAGTATTTTCTCGCTTTGACGACATCTATTAGTTATATTGCGATTTAAAATTACGGAAAAGAGATCAATTGTTTTTTTACCTCTCGATAATCGCCAACAACAGCAAAAATTTGCTGTGCCTAGCACAGATGCCACCTGCGCTTTTGTGTCTAAAAATATGTGTACCAAATTTGATTCCATTCGGTTTAGTCGGAAATGGGAGTACAAACAGACCGATACCATTGAGATTTTGTTTGATTCGGATTCCTGGTGCGTTAAAACGTGTATTTCCGTAAAAAAATTGGGGGGGGGGGGAAATTTTTTACCCCAATGCAATACTCCCTTGCGGTTGGTAAAAAGAATTAATTCGGTGCAGTCGTTCTGAAGTGATGCGCGTACATACATATCGGGTGTCCATTTTTACCACTCGCACATGAGTATTATTATTTATATGTGTCGACTAATCCCGTATTACTTGGAGCGAGTACCTCGCACAGTTACGATTCTTCGCTGTATATGTTGCCTCCTCTCTCTTATTTCTTAGCAATACGAGAAGGGGACCTCAAATAAACCTTTCTTGTTTGTGTTAAATTAGTGGTGCTCGATACTGGAGTAATTTTTTTATGTAGATCCTATTTATTGATTGTTTTGTTTTGCCAAAAGTGAACTGTAAATGTGTTTGCAATAAATTAATTGCTCTTGTTTTTACTTTGCATTTATCGTGTCTCTTGTATTTGTTTTGTGGCGTCCTTTCGCCACAAATGACGTCACGTACGATCGCGCGCTCGCCATTCGTCGTAAACGCTGTGACGTCACGCTATATCGTGCGCGCTCGCCATTCGTGGTAAAAACAAAAACTCTCATTCAATAGCGCGACGGTTTATAAGGCGACGAGCAAGCGGAAGTCGTCAGTCTTACTTATACCTCGTTCTGTAGCAGAGCAAGACCCAGTAGCACTCTTTAGCCTACGCCTCCAGTGTTATTTAGCCTGGATAACTTTTACTCTTCAGCGTTTCTCAGTCTGAAGACCAAGCAAATGCCCTGAAGAAGGAACGTCGCCGTTCTACGTGCTTGACACCGCCATCGCCCGTCAGGGCACACCACATCGTAAATCTGTATATATTGTTATGTAAATTTAAGAGGGGCAATAAATAAATAAGTAATTACGTCGTTTATTTTTTACATATAATTAACAATAAACATTCTTGAAATTAATGGATTTATAACACTAAAATATTTAACACTCACGAATACACAATTTATAACAGCGCGAACTATTTATTACGTCGGCGTCGAAATTAGAACTGCACTGCAACGCAATTCTTTCTCGAAAGATCTCGAGCGCTCCCGAAGATATCCGACTATTTTAGAACGTTCTCGAACAAACGCGTAGAGAAGCGCAATAGTTTCGACTGTGTCATAACATAATTCAAATACTTACTCTCCGCAGGCTGTTCTTGTTTTTCTTTTACGCATCCTTCACTCTCTCATCCCCCTCACATTTTACCCCCACCGGTTGCTTCTGCATCAATCTCCTTTACGTCCTTTTGACATTTCTTTATTTTTTCGTTCAGTATTTGACATAAATAGCATCTTCTTTTTGACGCTTTCTTTGCGTAGTCATCTTCACATATCTCTAAGCCCCTTTGGCCTTCCCCATATACTTTTTACGATTGTCACGATAAAAAACTGTAGAGTCCAAAGAAAGTTCTGTGTGTCTCGTCTCCCCCCCCCCCCCTTCCACACTTTCTTCATTTATAATACATTCGGGCGTTAGTCCCTTGACTATCACACTATCAGTGGCGTGGCGTGACTCGTTGGCGCGATCAAAGTTTGCCGCCCCATGTTCTAGGGGAAGAGTTTATTTATACTAGGGAAATAAGGGTCATTGAATTTTCCTTTTATTGGGAGCCCCCCCCCCCCACCTCCGGTGTTATTAAAATTTTCGGTAGAGCGACATCAAACTTAACACCGGGGAGTGAAATACCCCAGTTTTCAGTAAAAGGCTATCCAACCTAGCACCTGGGGGTTATGGGATCTGCCCACCCACCCGTATACGGGTTTATTATTTTTTTTAAGTGGGCGGGGTTTCTCAACCCACTACACATTTACAAATATCTATGCCCGAACCAGGGACCCGTAGTACCTCAGTCCACCTTCAAATAAACTGCGTGCCACGGGCCGAGTATGAGTATATGCGAGCGATCTCATGCTGATAATGATGATTCTAGGGGAATAGTAATTGAATTTTTCTTTTACTAAGGGGTACTTTACCCCCCGGTGTTGCATTCTCTCCCCCAAAACCGTCTGCCTCACCACTCTCATTTGCGTTTTAGGTAAAACGCCATCCAATGTACCTCTGACGATATGGAATGCCCTCCGCACATGATGACTTTGAATTTTCCTTTTAGTAGGTGTATATTCGAGCCCCCCCCCTCCCGGTATTGCATTCTCCCCCAAAACCGTCCACCTCACCACTTTCATACCAGTTTTAGGTAAAGCGCCATGCAACGTACCTCTGCACTGTATTTATATGAGCTTACGAATGATCTCATGGTGATATTGAGAATCCTAGGAAAACGGTTATTGAATTTTCCTTTGAGCGGGGGGGGGGGATATATATCCTCTCCACGTGTTGCATTCTTCCTTAAAACCGTCCACATCATCACCCTCATTGCAGTTATTATAGGTAAAACGCCATCCAACATGGCCCCCCTCCCCCCGGTACACTAAGCATATATGAGTATACAAATGATCGATCATAGTGATGATGATTGTAGGAAAGCGACCATTGGATTTTCTTTTTAATGGAGGGTGTTCCATAAACCCCTGACCGATTCCCCGGAGGGGCATTATCCCCCCCCCCCCTACCTGACCACTCACAATGATCCTTTCCCTATATCATTATCACCATGAGATAATTCGCATACTCACTGATATACATACACTCCTCGTATACGGAAGGGGGGGGGGCGCTTACCACCGAGACGGTTTTGGGGGAAAATGTAATACCGGGGGGGGCTAGAAGTATGGAATATCCCCCAATAAAAAGAAAATTGAATGACTCTCTTCCTAGAATCATCATTATCTCCATGAGATGCGTAGACTCATAAAATAAAGTCTTCGTGTGCTGGGGAGTTTCACACCCCCCCACTGGTACGTTGCATGGAAGACTTTATTTATGTCGTTCAATTTTCCTTTGACTGGGGGATATTCCATACCCCCAGACCGCCGATATTATTGCATTCTCCCCCAAACCCGTTTGTTTCTCCACTCTCATTCCAATTTTAGGTAAAACGCAATCCAACATACCTACCTCTGGAGGGTGTGGAAAACCTCCCAGTATGCGAAGAGTTTATTTATACGAGTGAATATGCGAATGATGATATTCATCGGGAAAGGGTCATTGAATTTTCATTTTTACTGGGATGGCATGTAGTACCTGCGCATTCTAACTCGTTTCTGCCGTTTCTTGTCCTTTTCTGCCTTCTCCTGTTCTTCTTTTCTCCTCCGAGAATCGCCTGTTCTCATCCCTTTACCGTGATCTCCTTTCCCTGTTCGCGTACTCTACCCGTTTCCTGCCGTCTTTCTACTTGTAGGACCCAGGAAAATGAAAAGATTTGTAAGAACCGCCATATTGCATATTTCTCTTTGAATATGTTGTGGTATATTCTGTAATTATTCTCGTTAAAGTATATTCTGAAATTGGCATATCCCATATTCTTAAACCTGTAATGAAAAATGTTGGCCAGAATATACCTGGAACATTTTCTCCCCCAAAAACCACCTAACATACGGAACATTTCGTAATAAAGAACGTGGCGTATCAATTCTTGAGTACTCGCCGAAATCTCTATTGTTTCCCAATTTCGCGACGAATTATCTACACTATCTCCCATCGAAAGTGCTCGAAGCGCGTCATTTGCGTCCGCCCAGCTAGAGCCTAATCGATAGGAAAGTTACTTACGAAGATAACACCAGTTCTTATCTGGGTGGCGAGAGTAAGAGGTCAATTACATATTTACACTTTAGTCAGTTTTCTCTCAACATCTCCGATCCGTATATCCCCTTGATGATCGCTTCCGCGTACACATGTCGGCGAATATTCTAAAAATCGGCTTCATCGGCGGCGGGAAGATGGCGAAGGCGCTAGCGGGTGGATTCATTTCCGCCGGTAAGTTCCTCTCGTTTACGTTTTCGCCCTTTTAATTTCGGTTGTAGGCTTGACCAAGGCGGAGAACGTAATGGCCAGCTTTCATCCGTCCGATACGCAATGCGCGAGGAAATTTGAGGTGAGTACTTACCTCGCCGATTTTACCTCATATGACTTCTTTTAGGAGGAATTGGGTGGGAGAACAGTATTCGAGAATAAACCGGTGGTAGAACTTTCCGATTTAGTTTTAATGGCCGTTAAGCCGACGGTAATGCCGACCGTTTTGAACGATATTAAGACGGCGGTTACTAACGATAAATTATTAATTTCAATTGCGATGGGTGTAACGTTGGGAGATATCATGAAGGTAGTACTCTTGGGTTAAATCTCAGTTGTGAGGTTCTAGTTTTTAGCATCTTCCGTACGAGGCGAAAGTGATTAGAGTGATGCCTAACACTCCAGCCCTTAGCAAGTGTGGCACGAGCGTACTTGTCCGAGGGGAAAATGCTACTGATAATGACGTCCTTTTAACCAAAAGGCTGTTTAGTGCAATCGGTATCTGCGAAGAGGTGCCTGAGCACTTGTTCGACGCGATTACGGCAGTCAGCGGATCAGGACCAGCATATGTACGTTGTATTAATAAATATTTATTTATATCTAATTAGCGTTAAGGTCGCCCGATATCGTTCTATTTCGGGATAGATTTTGCATTAAGTAATATCGGCCAATGCCAAATAGATAGACAAAGCCAAAACGGTCCTCGTGTTCCAGGTGTACGTTTTCATTGAGGCTTTAGCCGATGGGGCAGTAAAAATGGGCATCCCAAGAGAATTGGCCTACCGGCTATCGGCGCAGACGGTTTTGGGCGCCGCGCAGATGGTTAAAGATACCAAAATGCATCCGGGCGCGCTTAAGGACGATGTCACCTCACCTGCCGGATGCACGGCAGCCGCGCTACATTACCTTGAGAAGAAATGTAAGTACGCAACACCAAAATACAAAAAAAATATCTTAGTAACATTGCACTGCCTTGTTGTACATCTTCGGCGTCCAGAAGCAGGGAGTGGGGGGGGGGTTGTACAGAAGAAAAGTCCGTGCTATTGTCAGACTTTTGTATACTCGGGGTATGGACTGGAGCGTATTTCCAGATCCCTCGGTTTGATTTTTCGAAAGAGTCGAGGAAATAGTCCTTAGGGCTCAATGTTATTAGGTAGAACATATCACCCGGGGGTCTGAGGGGTATTTAACATTTCCCAGGAAAAGAGAATGAAATTCCATGCAATTGATAACACCTTTGTATTCCCCAGGAGAAGAGCTGGGCAGTATTCGATTTTGTAAATACTTTTTAGTATTCAAATCCTTTAAAGTATTCAAATACTTTTATGGAAGCAGTATTTGTTTTTGTAACTCAAATACTTTCACAAATATTTAGTATTCGAATACTTCGCATAGTATTTGAATACCAAAAATCGACTACACCAAAATTTCTCGGGAAAACACTTTTTCTTATTAATTTTGGTGCGTAGAATCCAAAACAATTCGTACTTTTTCGATCCGACTTCTCAATCAAAAGTTATAGACTAGAAAAAAATTCAAAGGGCTGTAACTTTTGAACTAGTAGCCCAATCTTGGAACTGTTTGAAATTATGGATTCTACAGGCCACATTCTATAAGAAAATTTTTTTCCGGGTCGATCTGAGACAATTTTTTTTTCGGGGCTCAAAAAAAGGCAGTGTATAACCTTCCTTTTTTACCAAAAATCGACTGCATCAAAATTTCTCGGGAAAACACTTTTTCTTATTAATTTTGGTGCGTAGAATCCAAAACAATTCGTACTTTTTTGATCAGACTTCTCAATCAAAAGTTATAGACTAGAAACCAATTTCGAAAGAAAATTCAAAGGGCTGTAACTTTTGAACTAGTAGCCCAATCTTGGAACTGTTGGAAATTATGGATTCTACAGGCCACATTCTATTAGAAAATTTTTTTTCCGGGTCGATCTGAGACAACTTTTTTTGCGGGCCTCAAAAAAAGGCAGTGTATAACCTTCCTTTTTTACCAAAAAACGACTACATCAAAATTTCTCGGGAAAACACTTTTTCTTATCAATTTTGGTGCGTAGAATCCAAAACAATTCGTACTTTTTCGATCCGACTTCTCAATCAAAAGTTATAGACTAGAAAAAAATTCAAAGAAAAATTCAAAGGGCTGTAACTTTTGAACTAGTAGCCCAATCTTGGAACTGTTTGAAATTATGGATTCTACAGGCCACATTCAATAAGAAAATTTTTTTTCCGGGTCGATCTGAGACAATTTTTTTTTTCGGGTCTCAAAAAGGCAGTGTAAACCCTTCCTTTTTTACCAAAAATCGACTGCACCAAAATTTCTCGGGAAAACACTTTTTCTTATTAATTTTGGTGCGTAGAATCCCAAACAATTCGTACTTTTTCGATCAGACTTCTCAATCAAAAGTTATAGACTAGAAACCAATTTCGAAAAAAAATTCAAAGGGCTGTAACTTTTGAACTAGTAGCCCAATCTTGGGAACTGTTTGAAATTATGGATTCTACAGGCCACATTCTATAAGAAAAATTTTTTTCCGGGTCGATCTGAGACAATTTTTTTTGCGGGCCTCAAAAAAAGGTAGTGTATAACCTTCCTTTTTTACCAAAAAACGACTACATCAAAATTTCTCGGGAAACACTTTGTCTTATTAATTTCGGTGCGTAGAATCCACATCAATTCGTACTTTTTCGATTAGACTTCTCAATCAAAAGTTATAGACTAGAAACCAATTTCGAAAGAAAATTCAAAGGGCTGTAACTTTTGAACTAGTAGCCCAATCTTGGAACTGTTTGAAATTATGGATTCTACAGGCCACATTCTATAAGAAAATTTTTTTTCCGGGTCGATCTGAGACAATTTTTTTTGCGGGCCTCAAAAAAAGGCAGTGTATAACCTTCCTTTTTTACCAAAAATCGACTACAAAATTTCTCGGGAAAACACTTTTTCTTATTAATTTTGGTGCGTAGAATCCAAAACAATTCGTACTTTTTCGATCCGACTTCTCAATCAAAAGTTATAGACTAGAAACCAATTTCGAAAGAAAATTCAAAGGGCTGTAACTTTTGAACTAGTAGCCCAATCTTGGAACTGTTTGAAATTATGGATTCTACAGGCCACATTCTATAAGAAAATTTTTTTCCGGGTCGATCTGAGACAATTTTTTTTGCGGGCCTCAAAAAAAGGCAGTGTATAACCTTCCTTTTTTACCAAAAATCGACTACATCAAAATTTCTCGGGAAAACACTTTTTCTTATCAATTTTGGTGCGTAGAATCCAAAACAATTCGTACTTTTTCGATCCGACTTCTCAATCAAAAGTTATAGACTAGAAACCAATTTGAAAGAAAATTCAAAGGGCTGTAACTTTTGAACTAGTAGCCCAATCTTGGAACTGTTTGAAATTATGGATTCTACAGGCCACATTCTATAAGAAAATTTTTTTTCCGGGTCGATCTGAGACAATTTTTTTTTCGGGGCTCAAAAAAAGGCAGGTATAAACCTTCCTTTTTTACCAAAAATCGACTGCACCAAAATTTCTCGGGAAAACACTTTTTCTTATTAATTTTGGTGCGTAGAATCCAAAACAATTCGTACTTTTTCGATTAGACCTCTCAATAAAAATTTGTGGAAAAAAACAAATTTTCAAAAAAAAATTCAAAAGGCTGTAACTTTCGAAATTATGGATTCTACAGGCCACATTCTATAAGAAAATTTTTTTTTGGGTCGATCAGAATTTTTTCTTCGGGCCTCAAAAAAAGGCAGTGTATATATAACCCTCCTTTTTTACCAAAAGTCAACTACACCAAAATTTCTCGGCAAAACACTTTTTCTCATTAATTTTGGTGCGTAGAATCCAAAACAAATCGTACTTTTTTTACTAGACCTCTCAATAAAAAGTTATGGACAAAAAACAAATTCCGAAAAAAAATTCAAAAGGCTGTAACTTTTGAACTAGTAGCCCAATCTTGGAACTGTTTGAAATTATGGATTCTACAGGCCCAATCTTGGAACTGTTGGAAATTATGGATTCTACAGGCCACATTCTATTTTTGGAAAGATCCAAGGAACCCCCCCCCCCCTTCAGGATATAGAGCACAAAACTTCCTGCAATTGCCATTTGACCTTTTGTATACTGGGGGGTATGGAATACAACCTTCTCAGCAACTGTAATACGACCTTCGTATACTGGGGGGTATTCCATACTCTCCAGAACCCGCGGTTTAGTATTGTTCATCTTTAACACCATAATTCTGGAAAGATTCCTTAAGGCTGAACGTTTAAAGGCAGAACGTATCACTGGGGGGTCTAGGATGTATGGAATACCCCCCCACGAACAAAGAACAAATTTCCCTGCAACTGTCATAAGACCTTCGATATTGGGAGGTATTCCATATCCCCTCAGATATCCCGGTATAGTATGGTTCCTCCTAATGAATTTGGAAAGGGTCCTTAGGGTTGAACGTTTCGAGGCAAAACCCTCCCTCCCAGGGAAAAAAGAACAAATATCTTTGCAACTGTTAAGACCTTCGTATACTGTGGTATAGTCCATACCCCGCAGACCCCCCGCTTTAACACCATGGTTTTTGGAAAGAGTTGAGGAAAGAGGACTTAGGGCTGAACGTTTTGAGGCAGAACGTATCTCGGGGGGGGGGGGAGGTATTCGATCCCGCCCTTTCTTAGCTTCTATCTCCTGCTTTAAATATCCTGGAGACCTGTTTTTTACAATGCAAACAATTTTGGAATTTGAATTTTGCTTATACGCTAACCGGTGATGACGTCAACGTCAAGTTACTGGAAATGTTCTTTAGTAACTTTATGGGCCTACATACGCCCCGTATTCTTTTTTCAGGTTTTCGTTCCGCAATAATCGGCGCAGTTGAGGAGGCCACCAGGAGATGTCTCCAGGTATCGAAGACCCGGACGAAGTAGACACACGCGTATGTTACAACCTCGTCGATTCGCAATCCATCATCAATTAATCTGCCTTTTTTTCAGTGCTATTTGTACACAATTACAAATGGTGGATCCCGCCGCGCGGCCAAGGAGCCAACGGGCCGATGTCGGAAAACAGCTGATTTTGACGTTGAACATCTGTCGCCGATTCGAGGCGTTATTTTTAGCGATACTTAATTTATTTTTAGCGTTTTTAATAAATAAAAGCTCTTTTTGTTGTTATTATGGCATCCCCTTTGCGACCGCGCGCGATTGCGCAATATCCCTTATCCCCCAGTCAGCTGAGTTCATTGTCAAATGTATCGAACCGGCCCCCCCACACGGCAGCGGTTTGTTAGTCCTCGTCTGTTCACCGTTCGCGCATAAACTTGTTTCCCTGTACAACTTTTTCTTAAACAACCGCAATTAGTGCAATAGACCAGTGCTTCGTTTTCTAATCAAATAATTATATCGTCATGTGGTAAGTTTGCGCCCCTTTCGAATTTTCCGTTGCGAAGGTTAGGGTGGACTTTTTCCGTTCGGGTCTGCGCATGCCGCCGCCGATGGTTTTCTAACAAAAAAAAAGTGCACCTTCACGGCCTGTGGTGCTGGAAGTGCAGGATTACAAAAGCCGGCCGGTTTCGCTTCCATTCCCTTTATTTTTGTTATCGGTCTTGTTATCGTTTCGGTGAATCATGCGCTATTTTTGATAATCGTTTGCGAACGCCCGCTCGGTTTACGTTTAAAGTCTGTGACCTTTTTGCCGAAAAACAAACCGAAACCGCTTTTTAAAACGTTAATCCGCCCCATCGTTTGTTTATCGTAGCCTTGACGTGCAGCGGTGGCGAACAGAAATTTCCAAACAAAGCGCGACGACCTGAAAACAAAGGATTTAAGTGCAGCTGCACAATTCATTGATAAGAAATTGTTAACAAAAACCACACCCATTTTTAGTAGTTTTGGTATAAATAAACAAAAAACCGGGCTCGTTCAACCCGAGCCAGTGGTGGGGCGGCATTTTTTCCAGCACTTTCAATGCACGCTTTTGAAGATCAATGTCAGCTCTCACTTTAAAATCCATCTGATAATCCACCCCCCCTTCCCCTTAGCCACCGATTTTAAATTTTTGTTTGTACTAATTTAAGGGTTGCTGTGAACAGATTGTTTGGTGATTACAATATTTACTGTGATTTGAGTGGAATCATCCCCTAAATTGGGTCGGCCTCAACTACAATTTGGGTTGAAAACGGAAGGGGTTGAAATGTTTGTCTTAAAAAATTCAGTCACTGACGTCATAATTTAAGGGTTGATTCTTTGTTGATTACAATATTTGTTGTGATTTGAGTAGAATCAGCCTCTATATCAGATCTGCCCCAACTACAATTCAGTTTGAAAACGGAAAGGGTTGAAATTTTTGTTTTAAAAAATTCAGTCGCTGAGTAATCCCAATTTAAGGGTCGATATGTACAGATTCTTTATTGATTAGAGTGGAATCACCCCTAAATCAGGCCTCCCCCAACTACGAGGAAGGAGTTGAAATTTTTGTCTTAAAAAATTCAGCCAACGAGTGGTCCTAATTTAAGGGTTGATATGCACTGATTGATTGTTGACTATGTTTACTGTGATTAGAGTGGAGTCGCCCCTCAAAACAGGTCTGCCCCAACTACTTGCCCAACTACAAGTCAGTTTGCAAACGGAAGGGGGTTGAAATTTTTGTCTTAAAAAATTCAGTCACCGAGTGGTTCTAATTTAAGGGTTAATTCTTTGTTGATTACAATATTTGTTGTGATTTGAGTAGAATCAGCCCCTAAATAACACCAGCCTCGACTGGAATTCAGTTTGAAATCGAAAGGGGTTAAAATTTTTGTCTTAAAAAATTCAGCCACCGAGTAGTCCTAATTTAAGGGTTGATATGTATAGATTCTTTATTCATTAGAGTGAAATCGCCCCCAAAAGCAGGCCTGCCCCAACTACAATTCAGTTTGAAAACGGAAGGGGTTGAAATTTTTGTCTTAAAAAATTCAATCACCGGCTGGTCATAATTTAAGGGTTGATTCTTTCTTGATTACAATATTATTTGTTGTGATTTGAGTAGAATCAGGCCTGCCTCAACTACAATTCAGTTTGAAAACGAATGGGGTTGAAATTGTTGTTTTAAAAAATTCAGCCACCGAGGGGTTCTAATTTAAGGGTTAATCTCGGGGTTAATTCTTTGTTGATTACAATATTTGTTGTGATTTGAGTAGAATCCGCCCCTATATCAGACCTGTCTCAACTACAATTCAGTTTGAAAACGGAAGGGGTTGAAATTTTTGTCCTAAAAAATTCAGCCACCGAGTAGTCCTAATTTAAGGGTTGATATTTACAGATTCTTTATTCATTAGAGTGAAATCATCCCCAAAAGCAGGCCTGTCCTAACTACAGTTCAGTTTGAAACCGGAAGAGGTTGAAATTTTTGTCTTAAAAAATTCAATCACCGGCCTGTCATAATTTAAGGGTTGATTCTTTGTTGATTACAATATTTGTTGTGATTTGATTGGAATCGGCCCTTAAATCACACCTGCCTCGACTGCAATTCAGTTTGAAAACTGAAGGGGTTGAAATTTTTGTCTTAAAAAATTCAGCCACCGAGTAGTCCTAATTTAAGGGTTGATATTTACAGATTCTTTATTCATTAGAGTCAAATCGCCTCCAAAAGCAGGCCTGCCCCAACTACAATTCAGTTTGAAAACGGAAGGGGTTGAAATTTTTGTCTTAAAAAATTCAATCACCGGCTGGTCATAATTTAAGGGTTGATTCTTTGTTGATTACAATATTTGTTGTGATTTGAGTAGAATCAGCCCCTAAATCACACCTGCCTCGACTACAATTCAGTTTGAAAACGGAAGGGGTTGAAATTTTTGTCTTAAAAAATTCAGCCACCGAGTAGTCCTAATTTAAGGGTTGATATGTATAGATTCTTTATTCATTAGAGTGAAATCGCCCCCAAAAGCGGGCCTGTCCCAACTACAATTCAGTTTGAAAACGGAAGGGGTTGAAATTTTTGTCTTAAAAAATTCAATCACCGTCTGGTCATAATTTAAGGGTTGATTCTTGATTGATTACAATAATTGTTGTGATTTGATTGGAATCAGCCCCTAAATCACACCTGCCTCGACTGCAATTCAGTTTGAAAACTGAAGGGGTTGAAATTTTTGTCTTAAAAAATTCAGTCAACGAGTGGTCCTAATTTAAGGGTTGATATGCACTGATTGATTGTTGATTATGTTTACTGTGGTTAGAGTGGAGTCACCCCCCAAAACAAGTCTGCCCTAACTACAATTCAGTTTGCAAACGGAAGGGGTTGAAATTTTTGTCTTAAAAAATTCAATCACCGGCTGGTCATAATTTAAGGGTTGATTCTTTATTGATTACAATATTTGTTGTGATTTGAGTAGAATCAGCCCCTATATCAGGCCTGCCCCAACTACAATTCAGTTTGAAAACGGAAGGGGTTGAAATTTTTGTCTTAAAAAATTCTATCACCGGCTGGTCATAATTTAAGGGTTGATTCTTTATTGATTACAATATTTGTTGTGATTTGAGTAGAATGAGCCCCTATATCAGGCCTACCCCAACTACAATTCAGTTTGAAAACGGAAGGAGTTGAAATTTTTGACTTAAAAAATTCAGCTGAGTGGTCCCAATTTAAGGGTTGATATGTATAGATTCTTTATTTTAGGTGGAATCGGCTGTTTGAAAACCTTACAGCTGAGTGGTCCCAATTTAAGGGTTGATATGCACTGATTGATTGTTTATTATGTTTACTGTGATTAGAGTGGTCTTAAAACAGGCCTGCCACTACAATTCAGGTTGAAAACGAAGGGGTTGAAATTGTTGACTTAAAAAATTCAGCTGAGTGGTCCCAATTTAAGGGTTGATATGCACTGATTGATTGTTTATTATGTTTACTGTGATTAGAGTGGTCACCCCTTAAAACAGGCCTGGCCCGACTACAATTCAGTTTGCAAACGGAAGGGGTTGAAATTGTTGACTTAAAAAATTCAATCACCGGCTGGTCATAATTTAAGGGTTGATTCTTTGTTGATTACAATATTTGTTGTGATTTGATTGGAATCAGCCCCTAAATGCCCCGACTACAATTCTGAAAACCTCGACTGCAATTCAGTTTGAAAACGGAAGGGGTTGAAATGTTTGTTTTAAAAAACAGCCCCTAAATCACACCTGCCTCGACTGCAATTCAGTTTGAAAACGGAAGGGGTTGAAATGTTTGTTTTAAAAAACCGAGTAGTCCTAATTTAAGGGTTGATATGCACAGACTCCTTATTGATTAGAGTGAAATCGCGCCTGCCCCGACTACAATTCAGTTTGAAAACGGAACGTGTTGAACTTTGTTTCTTTTCTGTCTCTCTTCTGTACATGTCTCATTTATTTACCCATAGATTTCACAAGCACCTTGACCACAACCAATTATTACATCTTTTTTTTCCTGTTGCGATAATTTCAACGTATTTAATTGAATGCATAATTTAAGCGAAGATTGCGTGCGAGAGTTCCGAAATTCGTCGTTTCATCATTGCGGCGGACGAGGACTGTCGACAATTGGGCGCGCGACCGTAACGGTATCCGGCTCGAAGGACCGCCAACGCCGCGATATTCGGACGATGGGCGTGGTCGCGAGCTCCCCTCATTACGAAATATGAATGATTGATAACGTATTATTAGAGCGAAAAGCACTTCATAAAATTACCTCTCGCCCTGTTATTTATTCATAACTCATTCAATTACATTCACCTGCACTTTTAATAATGGATATTAAACATTACATTTTAACACGAACGGTGATCTGACAAGTTGTAAGTGCAAAGATCGCGTGATTTCCGAAACAAGTTTCGATCATCTCGACTGTAGTGCACGTATTTGTTACTAGAGTAGGGGCCCTCGAATGGACCCTTGTGGTACGCCATTAACGAATTTTTTCAAAAATTTTTGAAACGAAAATTAACTCGCGCGTGTCTCTTATCTGAACAACGATTGATGTAGGTCGTGTCCCGCTTATTTATTTTTTATTCGCCAACCGCGCTTCCCGTTTCGATTATAATTGCACCTCCTCCGTTCATTGTCCCAAGCAAAACACTAACCTACTTCTTCTGTTTTTTTTACAGGTCCATAGAGTAACAAATTAATACCCGAAAATCGAACTGCAACCGAAGAACCAAAAATACAAATCCGCAGTATTATTAATAGAGTATTAGTAGTTCCTAATTAATTAAAAAAAAAGAGTGAAAGAGAGAACGGGGGAGTAGTAGACTGTTTTAAATTGAAAAATTAAAAAAAAAAACTTGTTTGCCTTAAAAATGTTCGTCCAAACGGAATTTAACAAATCAAATAATAATAATGATTTAAGTAGAAGTGCGCACGATCAGGTCGCGAGTGGTTACGAGGAACTTTTCAAGGATTTAGATTTAATTTCGCGCTTTTGCATGCCGATCTGTTCGCGGGACAACGAGGTGCGCGAGGTCGCCCTCGACGTTATATCGAAGACGGTCGAAGGATGGCTCGACGGCGTCGGTAGCCCGAAGCATTACCGTCTAGCCGAGCGACGCCGACTGCAGGGCTCGGCGAACGGATGCGCGTGCTCGGATATCGTCGGCAATCCGGTCAACGATATACCGAAGGAATACATGGAACTTGTTACTCTACATTTACCGATTATTTTAAGGTTATCGTTAAGTTGTCCGTTTGTCAACGTCAGGGAGAAATGCCAACATATCTTGGAAATCGTAGAGGTGAGTGGCTTGTCTTTTTAAGAAACTGCGCATGCGCATTCAATTTTCTAATAAAATTCTGAGTTTGCGCATGCTCAGCTGATTACATTGTAATTGAAACGATTCGATAATAAACAAAACGTGCGTGCTTTTTGTTACGATTAAAACGTCAGGAACTTTACGTATTTTAACTGATTAATTCGCCGCAAGAGGTTTTTTTACGAAAAACTGCCGAACTCGTCCAAATTGCTAGCATGTCGTCCTGTTCGCGTGACCAGCGGCGGTTAATTCGCGCCTCGAAACATGTTATTTTCACAAAATAGTTTCCGAATTATCGACTTTGATAATCTTTATGGGACTTGTGAACACGATGACAAATATTTGTTTCATTTTTTTTAGCAAGTAGGTAAATTCTTATTCTACTGTGCTCCTGATACAACTATGTCGATTACTTCTTTAACGGGCAAGGCTAAATAAAATGCTGTTGCGTTTTATGGAATATATTTAGGTACAATATGTATAAAATGGTAGCCGCGGCGAGCTCTGTCGTCGGAGTGAGCGCGGATGCTGGTTTTCTGGCTGGTGGAGCATGGCGCGAGGACGAGCTGCTTCTGCAGGCGGAGCGCTGGTTGTTTCTCGGAGCTTTTACACGTTTGCGGCTACTTGGTTATATGCGAGCAGTAATTAATCAAGTCACTAAAGGATTAGTCAATAAAAGCGGATATTTCTCACGCTTCCTTTAAAATTTGTTATCTAAAAGCTTTCTGTTTGCTGTATAAGCATGAATTATGTTTGGTCTCGGTCTTAACATCGGTGTCGAAGTGATAAAGGTTAGTCACATTCTTAATCGAACTATTATAAATTAATCTATTTAAGGGCTGTGTTCCTTCCTGTGAACATTAGTAATATAAACATTTAAATAAATCACGTATTACAATAATTAAGGAACTTTTATAAAAGCGCTCGTAGCACGGTATTCATTCGTTTCTCGTCCTTTTTTGTCGTTTATTAAAATGCCAGTCGTGTTTCTCAAACTTCAAACGTGTTTAGATTTTTAGATCTCGCGGCACCGTTACTTCTCCTCTATTCGTCGTTTTTTCAGGTCGTTTTAATGCGGCAACTCTATACGACCGCGCATTAAGCTCGGTGTAATTGAAATAAATTTGCTTGCTATTCCTAAAATGGCTCTCTAACTTAATATGTGCGTATAGAAATACGTTTTCCGAGCTAAGTACCCGGTATTATATAAATGGCCGTAAGTAACGAGTCGCAAATAAATTTTGATTTTACAATCGGGTTCGCATTGTCGCGGCGAACTCACGAAACGCCCGGAGCTTAATTGCGAACGCGATGTACATTATTTACTATCATCCTCTCTTAACGCTCAATGAGCACCAGAAGCGAATGAACATAATTTGCATCCTATTTATCGAGAAAAAGGCGTTTTAATTGTCTCGTAATTTTTCCACTTTTCATACTCGAAGCAGCTCAACGTTTCAGCTTAGGGGGAGGATCACGTTCGTCTTTTTCCTTTTCGTTTATGAAATATAACCCCCCCCCCCTGTAAATGGAAAGATTGAAAAATTCTATTACTGTTTCCCTACCATCATAATTATACGAAGAGTTTATTTAAAACCCTTTACTGGGGGGTTTTGACCCCCCGGTGATAGGTTCTTCCCCGAATGTTTAGTATCGTTTCCACTTACACCATAGTTTTTCAAAAAAGTTGTAGGGCTGGACGTTTTAAGGGTCAACGTCTCTCTGGGGGGGTATGGAACACCCCCCAGTATAAGGAGAGTTTAGTTAAATGGGTATAGGAATGGTCTCATGGCGATAATGATGATTGTAGAGAAAGGGTCACGAAGTTTTCCTTTTACGGGGGGGGGGGGGATTATACTCCCCACCCCCCCGGTGATAGGTTCTTCCCCCGAATGTTTAGTATCCTTTCCACTTCCACCATAATTTTTCAAAAAAAGTTGTAGGGCTGGAGGCTTTTTGAGGGTCAACGTCTCTGGGGGGGGGGGTATTATACTCCCCACACCCCCCGGTGATAGGTTCTTCCCCCGAATGTTTAGTATCCTTTCCACTTCCACCATAATTTTTCAAAAAAAGTTGTAACGTTTTTGAGGGTCAACGTCTCTCTGGGGGAGTATGGAACACCCCCCAGTATAAGGAGAGTTTAGTTAAATGGGTATAGGAATGGTCTCATGGGGATAATGATGATTGTAGAGAAAGGGTCACGAAGTTTTCCTTTTACTGGGGGGGGGGGGTATTATACTCCCCACACCCCCCGGTGATAGGTTCTTCCCTCGAATATTTAGTATCTTTTCCACTTACAACATAATTTTTCAAAAAAAGCTGTAAGACTGAACGTTTTGAGGGTCAACGTCTCTCTGGGGGGTATGGAACACCCCCCAGTATAAGAAAAGATTATTTAAATGGGTATAGGAATGGTCTCATGGCGATAATGATGATTGTACAGAAAGGGTCACGAAGTTTTCCTTTTACTGGGGGGGGGGGTATTCCATACCCCCCAGACCCCCCGGTGATAGGTTCTTCCCCCGAATGTTTAGTATCCTTTCCACTTACACCATAATTTTTCAAAAAAGTTGTAGGGCTGGACGTTTTAAGGGTCAACGTCTCTCTGGGGGGGTATGGAACACCCCCCAGTATAAGAAGAGTTTAGTTAAATGGTATAGGAATGGTCTCATGGGGATAATGATGATTGTAGAGAAAGGGTCACGAAGTTTTCCTTTTACGGGGGGGGGGGGGGTATTATACTCCCCACACCCCCCGGTGATAGGTTCTTCCCCCGAATGTTTAGTATCCTTTCCACTTCCACCATAATTTTTCAAAAAAAGTTGTAGGGCTGGACGTTTTGAGGGTCAACGTCTCTCTGGGGGAGTATGGAACACCCCCCAGTATAAGGAGAGTTTAGTTAAATGGGTATAGGAATGGTCTCATGGGGATAATGATGATTGTAGAGAAAGGGTCACGAAGTTTTCCTTTTACTGGGGGGGTATTATACTCCCCACACCCCCCGGTGATAGGTTCTTCCCCCGAATGTTTAGTATCCTTTCCACTTACACCATAATTTTTCAAAAAAAAGTTGTAAGGCTGAACGTTTTGAGGGTCAACGTCTCTCTGGGGGGTATGGAACACCCCCCAGTATAAGAAAAGTTTATTTAAATGGGTATACTAATGGTCTCATGGTAATAATGATGATTGTATCACAAAGGTTTATTTTTACGGCCCCCCCCCCGGTTAACTTATCACATCGGGGTGAAGAGGTGGAATGCCCCTCTTCACTATACACTCCCCGGTGTTGCATTATCTCTCAAAACCATATGCCTGACCACTCTCACTCCAGTTTACGATCAAATAACATCGAACGTATTACCGGGGGGTGTGAGGTACCCCCCACTATACGGGGAGTTTATTTGTGTATGCAAATACTCTCACGGGGCGGGGGGGGGGCGGGGTATGGAATGGTATTTACATGAGTATATACAAATGATTTCATGGCGAATGACAATTGTAGGGAAAGAGTAATTGAATTTTTGACAAAATTGCATGTATAGTGCTAACATTTACTATTTTGAACCCAAAATAGCCACGATAATTACATTTGAGAACTAATTACTCATCGCTCTTCAAATAATTTTTCGCGATAAAAATCATAATCACTTTACAAATCAAAAACATTAGATGTGCCTAATTAATTTCAAAAGTCCAATTTATAAAATTCAATTAAGTCTAATTAAGCAAAAATTGTATTAAAAACCAATTAAGCAAAAATCGATAAAATGTTGAAAATCTATGAAAAGTGAAGGAGACTTTGCACTAACATCAAACTCTAATTTGCTACCCTTCCAAAAAAAAAATGAAGCAATTTTAATTGGATCATTTTACGAGCAGACCCTCCTAATTTCAGACTAGGGCAGAAATTTTACAGCACTGTTAATTAAGCTTCTCCGCACGGTAGTGGTTTATGGTTAAAGTTGTGACATTTAAATGTTGATTACAGTTGTCAACTTTAATAACATGCTGCTGCACGCCTCTTTTTTTGGAGCAGCATAATTATACACTCACAGTTGCGTCACGGACGTGATTACAACGTGACTTATAGCGAAAATCTTTTTGGCTTTTTTTTGGGAGTATTTACGACGACTTCTTGGGCTGCACCTTTTACGGCTGTTCTACCGTTAGCCATTTTTCATTTTTGTACACCTTAAACGTTATTTATGTTTTTGGAATAGAAGTGGACGTCTTTGAAATTAACTGTCACCTTTGCCGCTACGCGTTATTAAAGCGAAAGCGGATAGGTATAACAAACTGCCACAAGGGGGCGCAATTTACATATAAATAAAGTTTTCTATTCTGTTCGGGGAAAGTCCTGGGCGCCAATTGAAAATTCGGGCTAGGGACTGTAGTGGTTTGCTTCAATTGTAACGGTAGGCCAGGAACTAGTTGCGTTGCACCACAATAATTTCGCGCCCATTACGCTTAACGATCTAAAAGAAAATTGAGTTCCTTTGATTCGCGAGCGAAAAGCGTGAGGAAAAGAGATCGATAGCGCCCCAAACTAAATCGCTCTCTTCCTATCTGATTTAATCAATCATTCTTATCCCCATTGTACTGGCAAATGTGAGAAAGCTGCTTTGTTAATGAAAACGCGAACTTCCGAACGAGGAAGAGAGGACAAACATGACGGTTTACAAGGGACGAATGCGATACCATTAATTATTGATAAGTCTAACGAATTAAACAACTTCTCGTGACTTAATCGCTTTAAGGGCTTTAATCGCCCTTGACAATATCTCCAAAAACGGCGCTTTCGCGAAATTCAGTCGACCGAAGTACTTATCAGAAAATTGCCGTGCATAATTCGTCAACGGAGGGCTGTTCCTGATTTGAATAATTTGCAAAAATTCGTATTTACCGAGGGGTAAACCGCTGGAGTAATTTGGTGTACACGGTTTGAGTAATACCGATGGATGGAATATCCCCCAGTAAAAGGTTTTACGTTTGATTGTGTTTGACCGTAAACTGGAATGAGGGTGGTCAAGAGGATGGTTTTGGGAGAGAATGCAAAACCCCCGGTTCTTGCTAAGCATTAATCCGATGGAATATCCCCCAGTAAAAGGTTTTACGTTTGATTGTGTTTGACCGTAAACTGGAATGAGGGTGGTCAAGAGGATGGTTTTGGGAGAGAATGCAAAACCCCCGGTTCTTGCTAAGCATTAACCCGAGTTAGGAGTAAAGAGCTGCATTTCATTGATTTGGTATAAAAAAGGATCATTAATTGCAACCTTTTAAAGTCAAGTAGTTAAATAGTATTTTCAGAGGAATATCATTAACCTCCTTTTCACTAAATACCCAACGCCCATTGTATGTTTATCCTCGGCGGACATCGCGCGCTCTGCATTTTCTTTTTAAGATCCGACGCCGTCTCGCAATTTTCCAAAGCAAACGAGCGTCATTAGACCGATCTCGAATAACCTTTCGAGATGTTGCGCGTTCTTTTGGGGAGGGCGGTGCGATCCAGCGGGAAGAAGCCCTCTCTTGTAGGGGCCGTCGAGCTTGTTTCCATTGAGCAACAAAATTGAAACAATCGCTCCGAGCATAGTGAAAGGGCATTTTTGTTGCAAAATAAACCTGTTGGATTATTTATTCGCTCGTACGCAGTGTGTAAATAGTAATGGTGCAATTCCCAGTCGGACGTCTCATTTGCGCACGCATGTAATTCTGCCCTTACGAAGGCTACCATGTCATTGACGACCCTCGTTTTAATTTTTGCTGCCCGACTTTTACGTACAATAGAGACGTGTTTTTTTTCCGCGACCGCTGCCTATCTTTCCCGATTAGACAAAGAAGGCAGCCTTGTCCCAAACCGTAACGCTTAGACTATGACATTTTTGTATAAAATTGAATGCTAATCTGTAAATTGCCAGGTGTTTTTACAGATAAGGCCGTCATTCAGTGACGTATTGTTTTGCAGTTGCTTGCATTCGGTTGATGTGCGCGGGTGTGCCAAAAATTTTGTGCCATGGTGAGTGCGCATATTTTTGTTGTTGTAAATGAGCCAAATTAGTTTAGAGTATAAGGGTTGGTACTGTTTAACCAGAAGACTTTTTTGTGTCCAATCCATGACTAAACAATGCTTTTTCTTTACAGAGACGAGGATTATCTGTACCTTATCCTTTAATACACGGACCAAGTGCGTTCATCGACCCTGATGAGGTAAGTCAGCCAGTCGTTTCAACCACTTTTTCAAAATGTCAATAATGAATTAGTGGCGCCCAAAGAATTAGCGACAGATTAGGATAATTTGGAACCATTGAAATTAGGCGCCGATTATGCGCCATTTTGTGTAGTCAATTTTATATTTCATATATTTTATTTCGACTGCAAACATTCTGCCTCCCTGGCGGGATTAACGGACATTTTTTCTAGAACCGTAAGATTTAAGGGTTCGTTAATTATCAACTCGATTAATTAATTGAAAATTAGTCATTTGGCAAGTTTTTTTGTGAAAATATTTTTGTTTGGGATCGATTCTGCATTTATTAAGCCTCTCAGGATTACGTAATCTCTTGTTGATGTTTATTCACCAACTACACTTAACCTAATTAACTTAATTAAATCAACACTAAAAGCGACCTTAGCGTCAATCAGACTAATGATTTGAAAATTTTTTCCACGATCCGCTTACGTTCCAATCTTTATACATGCGAATAAGCATCGATCATTACGAAACCAATTTAATTAGTCCCGTCGTCATTGATGGCGACCATTAAAACGTGTTCACCCCAAAAGAATAGCAATAGCAGTCATCGAGGCAGTATTGAGCACGGTTGCGATGATGTTGAAAGAATCTAAGCCATACGTGATATGTCATAGGCGAACGACCTCTCTTCGCCGTACTTCTTTCAAAAACAATCGAGAAGTTTGCTTTTTTTGCCTCTATTCCGAACAACGACAGTGGCGTCGCCGTCGACGTCGTTCAGATGCGGCAAATGTAACGAGTCATCAGACGCCTCTTTTGAAGTGTGCATTTCGTAATTATAACTTTAGAATTGGAAATGTTTCATCGTTTGATCAACATCTTGTCTTTCTAGGTCATCATTGGCACTTGGGGTGGGGCGGTTCTGCGAAGTTGTTCAAACCACGTTAATTATATCACCCGAAGGTAAAAAATGATTGACATTGACATTGGGCGAAACAAGGTCGAACGAGGATCTGTTACCACTACGCCGGGGGCAACAATCGCCCACGAGCCAATCAATCGAATTCCCAACTTTTTCTTCTTTTTGTCAACCACGTTACTGAACTACCGCCGCCTCCTTTTGAGAAACACTAACCTTTGCACCTCAAGGGTTCGGAATGGAGAGCAGGCAACATATCATGTACCTCTCGCACCTGGGGCTTGCTCTCTCCTGCAGAGAAGACCGAGTTTCTGCATTAAATTGAGATTTTCGCATTTTTTTGCAAAAATTAGTGACACTAAGTTCGGTAAATACAAGGTTTTGGTGCAATTTCGAGTGACCCGAAGGCGATTTCGTAAAGTTGAGCCTCCTCGGGCACCAATTTCTGCTCACGCACCTGAGACTCGCTCTCTAAGACAGGGAAATACGCGTTTCTGCTTTCAATTGAGATTTTCGCATTTTTTTGCAAAAATTAGTGACACTAAGTTCAGCAAATACAAAGTTTTGGTGCAATTTCGAGTGACCCGAAGGCGATTCCGTAAAGTTGAGCCTCCTCGGGCACTAATTTCTGCTCACGCACCTGAGACTCGCTCTCTAAGACAGGGAAATACGCGTTTCTGCTTTAAATTGACATTTTCGCATTTTTTGCAAAAATTAGTGACACTAAGTTCGGCAAATACAAGGTTTTGGTGCAATTTCGAGTGACCCGAAGGCGATTTCGTAAAGTTGAGCCTCCTCGGGCACCAATTTCTGCTCACGCACCTGAGACTGGCTCTCTAAGACAGGGAAATACGCGTTTCTGCTTTAAATTGAGATTTTCGCATTTTTTTGCAAAAATTAGTGATACTAAGTTCAGCAAATACAAGGTTTTGGTGCAATTTCGAGTGACCCGAAGGCGATTTCGTAAAGTTGAGCCTCCTCGGGCACCAATTTCTGCTCACGCACCTGAGACTGGCTCTCTAAGACAGGGAAATACGCGTTTCTGCTTTAAATTGAGATTTTCGCATTTTTTTGCAAAAATTAGTGACACGAAGTTCGGCAAATACAAGGTTTTGGTGCAATTTCGAGTCACCCGAAGGCGATTTCGTGAAGTTGAGCTTCTTCGGGCACTACTTTCTTACTCTCGCACCTGGGGCTCGCTCTCTACGACTGAGAAATACGCGTTTCTGCTTTAAATTGACATTTTCTCATTTTTTGCAAAAATTAGTGATACTAAGTTCGGCAAATACAAGGTTTTGGTGCAATTTCGAGTGACCCGAAGGCGATTTCGTGAAGTTGAGCTTCTTCGGGCACTACTTTCTTACTCTCGCACCTGGGGCTCGCTCTCTACGACTGAGAAATACGCGTTTCTGCTTTAAATTGAGATTTTCGCATTTTTTTGCAAAAATTAGTGACACTAAGTTCAGCAAATACAAGGTTTTGGTGCAATTTCGAGTGACCCGAAGGTGATTTCGTGAAGTTGAGCCTCCTCGGGCGCCAATTTCTAACTCTCGCACCTAGGATTCGCTCTCCAGGTCAGAGAAATACGCGTTTCTGCTTTAAATTGAGATTTTCGCATTTTTTTGCAAAAATTAGTGACACTAAGTTCAGCAAATACAAGGTTTTGGTGCAATTTCGAGTCACCCGAAGGCGATTTCGTGAAGTTGAGCTTCTTCGGGCACTAATTTCTAACTCTCGCACCTGGGGCTCGCTCTCTACGACTGAGAAATACGCGTTTCTGCTTTAAATTGAGATTTTCGTATTTTTTTGCAAAAATTAGTGACACTAAGTTCGGCAAATACAAGGTTTTGGTGCAATTTCGAGTGACCCGAAGGCGATTTCGTGACGTTGAGCTTCTTCGGGCACTAATTTCTAACTCTCGCACCTAGGGCTCGCTCTCCAGGTCAGAGAAATGCGCCTTTCTGCTTTAAATTGAGATTTTCGCATTTTTTTGCAAAAATTAGTGACACTAAGTTCAGCAAATACAAAGTTTTGGTGCAATTTCGAGTGACCCGAAGGCGATTTCGTAAATTTGAGCCTCCTCGGGCACTAATTTCTGCTCACGCACCTGAGACTCGCTCTCTAAGACAGGGAAATACGCGTGTCTGCTTTAAATTGACATTTTCTCATTTTTTGCAAAAATTAGTGACACTAAGTTCGGCAAATACAAGGTTTTGGTGCAATTTCGAGTGACCCGAAGGCGATTTCGTGAAGTTGAGCTTCTTCGGGCACTAATTTCTAACTCTCGCACCTGGGGCTCGCTCTCTACGACTGAGAAATACGCGTTTCTGCTTTAAATTGAGATTTTCGCATTTTTTTGCAAAAATTAGTGACATTAAGTTCGGCAAATACAAGGTTTTGGTGCAATTTCGAGTCACCCGAAGGCGATTTCGCGAAGTTGAGCCTCCTCGGGCACTAATTTCTAACTCTCGCACCTAGGGCTCGCTCTCCAGGTCAGAGAAATGCGCCTTTCTGCTTTAAATTGAGATTTTCGCATTTTTTTGCAAAAATTAGTGACACTAAGTTCAGCAAATACAAGGTTTTGGTGCAATTTCGAGTGACCCGAAGGCGATTTCGTGAAGTTGAGCTTCGTCGGGCACTAATTTCTAACTCTCGCACCTGGGGCTCGCTCTCCACGACAGAGAAGTAGGCGTTTCTGCTTTAAATTTAGATTTTTTCATTTTCAGCAAAGACTAGTGAGACTGACATTTTTCTTTTGTTGAATTAGCGCGTGTCAATGTACAATTAACAATAATTGGAAATTAGTTGGTTCTAATTTGCAACTGTAGTCTAGTGCGTAATTAGCAGTTTAATTTCAAATTTAGGTATTAAGTTAATTTAATACAGAGTACTTATCACAGGGGATTCACCCTTTGAAATTAAATTGACGTGGTTTTAGTTGATAATTAGTCATCGTCTACACCTAATTAACTAATTTGTTAAAGTGTAGCTAGGATGTTTTCAGTAGAGCTAATTCCCTAATTAGGCGCTTTAAGTACTTAGTTGTCGGGTTGAATTACCCTTCGAGATTTTAATTACGCGTAAGTAATTGTCGGGTTATTAACCTCCGAGGGTTTCTGCTTACGATGCGAAATTTATTTCTCACATTGCCTAATTTGCGCCTAATTACGCGGAAATTACATTGTTGGCATGATTTTGAGCGACAAGCACAACCGATCTGTGATTATTGTAAAATTTTATCGTCCAAAAATCTATGGTAATTTATTGTAATTAACGCATAAATCCGAATTAGCTTTGTAAAAGAGTTATAAACGGGCCAATTACAAATTAATCCAATCCCAAAGTGCACGCCACCAAAATAAACTCGGTCAATATCCCTCGTCTCGTATATTTAAACAATAAATAAACTATAAAGCTATTAAACAACCGTACGTGTCGCATTGTTCTTGTTTCGTGAACTGACAACGAATGAAATTACGTTAAGTAGGTGGGAGAGAGGAGTGAAACAAAGAGATCAAATGTCAGCCTCAACTTTGCACGTGCCTAATTATCATTAACTGCCCATTGTTGCTTGAGTTCTTTTTACATTTTAATTGTTGGAGATTTTCAACTGGCGAGGTGCAAATCTGCGGTGATGTAATCCCTAATTTTTTTCGAGCGCAATTTGCATAATTACCGGTTACAATTTTCGTTAACCCACATTTACGTGAGGTCTCTTCGTTTTTGGGCGTGCAATTGAGGTATAAGGTTGTTGAACGTTAGTGCCATTGATTTGTCCGGTCGTTTCGTTATGTAACTTTCGAAAGAAAGCGACGGTGCTCGCGGCTGCACTGCGTGCGGAAGAGAGACGGGACGAATAAACGAGAGTGAAAAAGGATTGGGGAGCCTTGATTTTTTGTGGATTTGTTAAATGACGTCAAGGTTCGCCAATTGTTTGTTACCAACTGAAGAATCGTGATCTCTGAAAATAATTAAGTGTTGCCCTTGCGACCCAATTTGTTCATCTCAGGTCGAAATCTGTTCCATTCGGATACACATTCTAATTTAATTATGTAATTAAAAAATAATATAATTTCTTAATCTCTATTAATTAAACTTGACTAATTATATAATTAAAAGTAATTAAAAAATAAAATAATTCCTTGATGTCTATTAATTAAATTTGATTAATTATATAATTAAAAGTAATTAAAAGTAAAATAATTACTTAATGCCTGTTAAGTAAATTTGACATTATGCTGCGCCATTTTTTCTTTAAAATTCAATTGATATTAATTTGGAATTTTAATTGATTTAATTTTGAGCAGCAATTATGCTTTATCAATTGTTTACAAGCTGAGAATTTATGTTTTCGCACAAGTTTAATTACTTCGAATTGGCGTGTTAATTGTGTAACTTAAATCTCAGTATTAACTGCGCGGGGTCTTCCGAATACAGTTAAATTGACACCAACTTACAAAAGTTAATTTACTAATTATTTGTTCCAAAAATTACTGATGTGTAATTGCTAATTAATTTAAGTGGGATTAGAGAAGTCACTACTCACGTAATCGTAGCCAAGTAGTAATTAATTATGTATTCCTGAACATTCCACATCTCTAATTGCCAGGTAATTCAAATTTTGATAATTAATTAATTAATAACTGCAGAGTTTTCGTTGGTTAGACCTGATTAAGATTAGCTTTAGTTTGAGATCTCTTGTTTTGAATTAATTATTAAATTAATTTTAGGAAGTTTCTGCCAAAATTAATTATTCATTTCTCTTTGTTTTAGGTAAGTGCGACATTTACCTCTATTGAACCGAAGGTGGAGTGCGGTAAGTTCTGGTTGGTTAGGGATGAAATTAAGGCAAAGACTTAATTAATTGCCATCGGAGACAATAGGATGCTTTATGTCAGGTTGTAAAAGCGTTAGAGC